GAAATGCACAAAAAAACATGATGGCTTAGTACATAAATAAAATGATGGCCAGATACATGATAAAGCAAGTAAAATGCTGATTATAGGATCTACATAGTATGCATAAAGATGCTCAATATAAAATTTTCAGTTTTTCTGTTTAAATTTTCATAATAAAACATTAAAATAATTTTATTAAAATTATAAAACTAGAGAACTCATGAGTCAATAAATGAGCGACTCAACAGAAAAACAGGCAAAAAACATACATGTTTAATAGAGGACACAAATGTCGTATAAACATATAAAAGTCTGTTCGATCCTACTCATAACTTTAAAACCACCTTGAGATACCATTTCTCAGCTGTCCAATTGGCAAAAAATTTTAATCAGTGCCAAGTGTTGAAGAGGAGGTGGAAACACCATAAAACCTAAGTGTCCATTAATATGACAATGGGCACCAAATTGTGGGATAGTCACACAAGGAAATACACTGTGAAGCAGTGAGAGTGAACAAACTATTCATACCCTGGTCCACAGAAAAGAATCTCAAAATATATTTTAAGTAACTGATGCAAGTGATTTAAAAATCAGTAAGATTTTAACTACATTAAGTTCAAAAGCAGGATAAACTAAATAGTATATTGTTTAGTTATAGAGATATAATTAAATTATAAAAAGCAAGAAAATAATTAGTGAAAAAAAATCAGAATACTGGTCACCCATAGGGAGAGACTGCAATTATAACAAAGACAAGGTATGCAGGTGGTTTTTAAGGTACTTCTAGTATTCTGTTTCTTAACCTAGATGGTCGGTTTCATGAGTCTTCATTATTATTCTTAATATATGTTGTTATATACACTTTTGCAAATACATTCCACAATAAAAAGTTTCTTTTTTGAGATGGAGTCTCACTCTATCACCCAGGCTGGAGTGCAATGGTGAGATCTCAGCTTACTGCAACCTCCACCTCCCAAGTGATTCTCCTGCCTCAGCCTCCCAAGGTTCAAGCAATTCTCCTGCCTCAGCCTCCCAAGTAGCTGGGACTACAGATGCCTGCCACCATGCCCAGCTAATTTTTGTATTTTTAGTAGAGATGGGAGTTTCGCCACGTTGGTCAAGCTGGTCTCGAACTCCTGACCTAACGTGATCTACCCACCTTGGTGTCCCAAAGTGCTGGGATTACAGGTGGGAGCCCCTGCACCCAACCAAATGTTGCTTAAATATGAAAATGATCAGCACATTGCCCATTTTTAAGGATTAAAGATGAATTCTTATAATAACATAAACATTCAACTGAAATTATTTAACAGATGTCTCAATTTTAACATGATCAAAACCAAGATTCTGACTTCTAACTCCCACTCCCCCACATATGCCCTTCCTGTTGTCTTGTCCACCTGGGTAAATTGCTTCTCCAACCTACCAGTTGCTCAGTCCAAACCTTGGAATTATCCTTGATTCCGTTCTCTCTCAGTCAAACCTCACACCCAACCCATCTACAAATCTTGTTAGTGATCTTTACATTATATCCAAAATCCTTCACTTCTCACCATCCGCTTCATGCCACCCCAGTCCCAGCCACCACTGTCTCTCACGTGGATAACTACAGCCATCTCCTTCCTGGTCTCCCTGTTTCTGTCCTCTGTCTAGTTTATTCTTAACAGGCAGCTGGAGAGATCATTTTAAAATGCAAATTAGGGTGAGTTGCCCTTTGTTAAAAACCCACCTATAGCTCCCCACCTCTGTCACTGTGAAAGCCAAGAATCCGCACAGCAGCCCACTTAGCACTACCTGTTTGAGCTTCCACTGCGGCTCCTACCACTTTCTCCCTCACTCCATCTGCTGCAGCCACAGTCAGCTCTTCACATTGCTCAAGCTGGCCATGCTGGCTGCAGCCTTAGGCTCTCCTGTGGAATCCACATGTTATCTCCCAAGCTTCCTTCATGTCAACAGCTCAAACATCACCTTATTAGAAGGTTCATCAAAACTACCCTATAAGAAATTGAAAAATCCCACCCTACAACCTGGGGCTCCCTTCCCCCTCACCTTGTTTATCATTCTCCATCTTATATATCATGTAATTGATCATACACATTACATATTTACTGTCTCTACTCACTGGAATGAAAACTCCACACGAGAAGAATTTTTACCAGTTTTGCTTCCTAGTATATCCCCATCATCTAGGTAAGGGCTTAATAATATCTGAATGAAGGAATGGCTTTTTATTAAACTGTTTTTAAAACCATAAGCATTTATTATGATATTTAAAAGTATTTTAATTCATAAAATAATAAATCGTAATCTCTCCATTAACAATCATGAAAAAGTAAAGTAAATTTTGCCAAATAAAGTATCAAGCACATATATGCTTTTTCCTGAATGTAAACCATTTGTTTCAAAGGGAAGCAAAAACCAGAATAACTAGAAATTCAATTTGCAAAAAATTAAAAATTGACTTAAATCAAGTAAAGCAAAGTAAAATTGAAATAAAGCTATAATTTGAATCCTATATCTCCAACTAAATTAATGTGTTCTTGCTGTAAAGCTCAAAACTAAAGCAGAAAGCATGCCCTAACTTGAAAAACAAGCATTGGTTACTTGCCCCAGCAACAGGAAAACAGGAAGGGCAAACAGTGCAGGCTAAAAGGAACCTTAAGAATCATCTAGTATTAGCCCCTTCATTTTTAGAACAAAAGAAACTGAGGACCTGAAATGACTTGAAAAAAAAGAAAACAATTTAGTATACTTATTCATTTGTGATCCTTGCTATAGCAAAATTCAGCTTTTATAGAATTAGAGGCAAAATATATCTCCATGGAAACAATATTCCCAGGTATCATGTGAAACTGAGAAGTATGGTTTTCTATGCAGGTCTTCACATCCTAAATATACAGGCAGGATTTGGGGTGGAGAGGTACTGAAAAGAGCACAGCTTTCTAATCAGACAAGTCTGGATTTGAGTTCTGGCTCTACCATTTACTCTGATATTGGCAATTTTTGTCCATCCGAGCCTCAGCTTTTTATCAGAAAATGGGAATCATTAAGACCTATATTATAAGTTTGTTATGAATGTAAAAAAGTGTAAGTAATTAACTCAGGGCCTAGTACCTTCTTGGCTACAGTCTGCCTGCAGGCCTTCTGACATTTTAATCACAGTTGCATAGTGCTCAATAAGAATCACCATCTCTGACTGCCACTGTTGGCTTTGTTGCACTAGCCTGTATCACAGAGAGTTCCCCTAACAGCAGGGCAATGAAACTGTTGATGTTGCTATCAACAGAAACTGTCAATTACCTGACAGCAGCCACTAGGTGCTACTTGTTTGAGGCAAAATAGAAGATTGCTTGAGGCTTCTTCTAAATGTAAAGTTGAGAAATCTATTTCTGACTAGAGTCCTGACCCCTGATTAATCACCCCTTCTCAAAACTAGAAGAGATCTCACAGGTCATCCAGCAAGAATCTTCTCCACAGTACATTCGATTAGATTAGATGACCAATTTCTGTGTAAAAGCTTCTAGTTTAAACAAGCTCTTACTCAGGTGGCAGTTGATTACATTTTCCGATCCTTCTAATTGCCAGCAAGGGCTTTTCCCCCAACCCTTAGAATGGACAGGTGATGGAAAAGTGAATGAAAACATATGAATGCCACCCTTATATACTTCTGGAAACAAAAATCTTGATTATTTTCATTTGAGGGTAACAAAGCATATCCTATTTAATAACAATTTCATAATATAAAAGTCAAGTTCTAAAATACATTTTGAAGCTCATAATTATGTTTTCAAAACAAAATATACATTAGAAAATTTGCCTTATAGATGGATCAAAGACTTAAATCTAAGACCTAAAACTATAAAGATTCTAGAAGATAACATTGGAAAAACCCTTCTAGACACTGGCTTAGGCAAAGACTTCATGACCAAGAACCTGAAAGCAAATGTAACAAAAATGATAAATAGATGAGACTTAATTAAACTAAAAGGTTTACTGCAAAGCAAAAGAAATAATCAGCAGAGTGGGAGAAAATCTTCATAATCTATACATCCTACAAAGGACTAATATCCAGAATCTACAAAGAACTCAAACAAATCAGCAAGTATAAAACAAACAATCCCATCAAAAAACGGGCTAAGGACATTAGCCCGCTTTTAGACAATTCTCAAAAGAAGATATACAAATGGCCAAAAAGCACATGGGAAACAGCTCAGCATCACCAAATCAGGAAAATGCAAATCAAAACCACAATGTGATACCACCTCACTCCTGCAAGAATGGCCATAATCAAAAAATAAAAAAATAATACATGTTGGCGTGGGTGTGGTGAAAAGGCAACACTTGCACACTGTTGGGAATATAAACTAGTATGGCCACTATGGAAAACAGTGTGGAGATTCCTTAAAGAATAAAAGTAGCTCTACCATTTGATCCAGCAATCCCACTACTAGGAATGTACCCAAAGGAAAAGAAGTTATTATAGGAAAAAGACACTTGCACATGCACGTTTACAGCAGCACAATTTGCAATTGCAAAAATATGGAACCCTCCCAAATGCCCATCAATCAACAAGTGGATAAAGAAAATGTGTTATATACAGATACCAAGGAACACTACTCAGCCATAAAAAGGAACAAAATAATGGCATTCACAGCAACCTGGATGGAACTGAAGGCTACTATTCCATGTGAAGTACAACAATTCAGGAATGGAAAACCAAACACTGTATGTTCTTGCTCATATGTAGGAGCTAAGCTATGAGGATGCAAAGGCATAAGAATGATACACTGGATTTTGGGGACTCAGGGAAAAAGAACAGGGGGTGGCAAGGGGTAAAAGACTACACACTGGGTACAGTGCACACTTCTCAGGTGATGGGTGCACCAAAATCTCAGAAATCACCATTAAAGATTAATGTAGCCAAACACTACCTGTTCCCCAAAAACCTACTGAAATAAAAAAATAAAAAATTTTTCAGAAACACTTGCCTTATAAATGTATAAAACATAAAGAAAACATACCTGGGATGATATCATTGATGTGCAATAGAATTGTACTTTCAACACACGCAAAACTACAAAGCTGCACTCCATCGAATCTTCCATCCCAGTTCCCAATAGGGTTATCCTAGAAGTTAAATAAACATTAAAATCCTTCTCAATGAAATGTAAATGTGAAAGTCTGTATTTTCCATAAAGAATCCTCCAAAATATTTTACATTGGTAAATGTTAACAATTTTACCTAAAGGAAAGAAAGAATATATTAGGAATAGTTGCCATAGTAATAAGGTTTTGCTTTTTTCGTTTGTTTGTTCATTTTATTCTTCAGGAAAATGAGATCCAAGAATAACCAAGTTATAGTAAACCCCTAGATAAGCAAAGAATCAGAAGCGTTTTTCATATTTTACTGAACAATAAATACTAGTCTATGGAATAACACTCATTTGAGGTTTCAAAAGACAACATTTTGCATAGGAAGAGTCATTAACAATATATTATTTCACCCAGATACCTGCCTCTAACTAGTCCTAGGCTCTTCATACTCCCTGAGCACTTAAATAGTCGTTCTGAACTTCTGTATGCCTTTCTTTACAAAAAAAGTCTATTTTCTCCTTGTTCCTTTGACATTTTATGGACATATGGGAATCTTCTCCAGGATCGAGATGTTTATATTTAATTATTTGATATTCTAATATAGCACCAATTGGCACTGTGCTGTTCAGGGAACTACGTCAGTAGATGGGCCAGTCAGACAACTGCCCTGGACACCGATGTGCATGGCATGCTAAAATGTCCCTGGAAATAGAACATGAATAGAAGAGATAACAAAGTTTGAAATAGAAGAAATATCTCTTTGAATAGAAGAGATAAAGAAAGTTCTAGCATTTGCCAGAACTTTCTTCTCAAGGAGTATAATAGAAATGTTTGGAACGAATGTCTGCACAAGTCAACTATGGGACAGATGGAGGCAGAGAGAGAAACTGTCAGGGCAAACCTTTAGGTAGCCTGCCCCGGGTAAACAAGCTGACCCCAGACCGCCATCTAAAGGCAAGGCCTAAACCCTAAACAGCTTCTGCCAAGTTTGAGGCCCAAGAACCTGACACAAGGGGAGACCAACCCCGATAACCAGCGGCCCACTTTCTCCAATCTTCCCTCCATGCAGGCCACAATTCTCCTTGAAATAAATACTGAATTAATATTTAAAGAATATTGGTTAAAAGGGGTGCTTTATTGTCAGCTATCGTGAGGGGCATATATGTTTTGCTCTGGTTCTAACTTTTCACATATTAAAAGTAAATGTTTAGTAACTAACCAATGAGTAACAAATAGAATTTCCTAGAATTGCAAGCACAGGAAACATTACGCTAGAACATTACCTTACCAACAACCAAAAGGTATACCTGAATGGATAAAAATGATGACTAATCATCCCCATCGTGAGTACAAGAGACTACTACTCACGTCCCCTCCTAACTCATTCTACTACTCAATAATTCCGTATGAATTTCCTTTTTTATACATAACAAAGTCTTGCCCATATGTTCAATGTGTGATAAAAATGCTCCAGCCTTTTTCTTCTCATTCTCTCAATGCTGCAGGTATTATTTAACTCACCACACTGGAATGGATCCATTATTAACAAGTATGATTATAAAGAAACATTAAAAATAAGTGACACAAGCTTAGGTCAAATATTCTAAGATTCCACTCTTATGAGGAACCTAGAACAAGCAAATTCACAGATACAGAAAGCAGAAGAAACTGTGGTTAGCAGAGGTTGGGGAAAGTGGGCAGTTACTGTTTAACAGGAACAGGGTTTCAGTTTGGGATGATGAAAAAGTTCCAGAGATGAATAGAGGTGACAGTACAACAATGTGAATATATTTAATGCTTCTGCACGCACACTTAAAAGTGCTTAAAATGGTAAATTTTATGTTATGTATATTTTACCACAATTAAAAAAGGTTTTTCAAATGAATGACATCCTATGAGAATATTCTAATTGTCTATTACTCAAAATCAATGTGGTTTTCCTCTACCCAGATATTTTCTATAAATGATTTTTATACTACTTATTAAAATCAGATCGGCCAATAAAATCGTGTAGAAAATTATTAAAAAACATAGGTTACCCCAAAAAACTTTTTCAAAATAAAGAAAAATAAGACATCATGTAATATATTTGGGTTTTGTTTTGTTTTGTGTATTGGTCAGCTACAATAAGGCAGATTTAAAGATTGAGAAGATTTTTCTAGCTTATTCAAATCAGAAAAAAGTAAATGTAATTCTATATGTAGACCCCTGTTCTATTTCAATGCTCCTTTACCAAACATAAATTAGAACATGCTCTTTAAAGTACTCCAAATTAGATCATTTTGAATATTCAAAGTGTTCAATTTGCAAGTAAATTGGTACTAAAACTAATACATATATTCACAAAGATATTTAATACAAAATTTTCTTACCATGTCCACACCAACAAAATATCCTAAGCTCTCTTTTCCTGGCAAAACATCACAGAATATAACTGTTCCAGATTCTATTGTTTTTCCAACCTTCAAAGAAACTCTGGAGTTTATTTCCAAAGGAGGAAGTTCGACCTGCATCGTGTCCACTGGACCTGCATAATCACTTTCCAACGCAGTATCGTCGTCTTCTATGAGTTCCAGCTTGTCCAATGCAACAAACACACCACAATCTTCATCACACTGAAAAAGCTGTTTCCCTTGATACACCCCGTCAGTGAAACCTTGGCCACGACCTTCTTCCTAGTTTTTAAGAGAGAGGAGAAAAAAATAGATATAGAAAGATGATTCATAAGAAAAAGGGTTCACTTTAGAGATTGCAGGAAAATCACTCTGGGAAAATTCTAAATGATTCATATATAAGAAATATAGTTATTAGCAGTTTCTGTTGGATTTAGGGTGTTTAAAAAGTAAGAAAGAGCTGTATCTGATGCTGAAATAAAATTATCTGATAATTTCAAATCATAACTCTATTGTGAGGAAGCTAGGCCGAATTCCATGTTGTAATTCTAATATTAATTTGGTTATAAAAAGAAAATGTTACTTTAAAATAACAGTAATGCTAGCTCCATTCATTAAGCCAGCCACTGTGCTAAATCCTGTATCTATGTACCACAAAAACACTACAAGTCATATACCATCAACATCATTGTACAGGTAAGGATGCAGACTTAGAGAAGTTAAGCAGCTTTGTTAAATAATCTGGCAACCCGGCTAGTAAATGGTTTAACTGGGATTCAAATTCCCAATTTTTTTACAATCATGCCTTTTAAAAAAAATAAATCAAGAAGCAAAGAAGGCATGCAATTTTATTTGCAAAAGTGTCAAAATATGATTGACATTTAAGTTCTTGAGAATGAATATTAAGCCTGGAAATGTATCACGGAGTTCTTGGGTCTCCTTCCAACAGAAATAAACTCCAAAGTGATTTTCACACATATCGTCAGGGACAACCATAAGCAAGTTTTGGATTATGGATTCATCAGCAAGGATGATGAATATTAAAAATTACAGAAGACTCTTGGGAAAATTTGTTTTGTATTTAAAGAAGAAAAATACGTATGTGCATACAAATACACACAGACACACAAACACAAACACACACACCACTAAAGTGGTTTATCAAACTTACCAGCAATTCAACTCCAAAGAATATTCCAGACACTGTCCTCTCTGCTAACAGGGGTCCTCTGAAGCGCACAACGCCAGGAAATTTTTCTTCCCCAGATCTCAGCTGTACTTTCACAGGGCAGCCAACGTCTATTTGGAGGCCTTTACTTAGTCTGTTTCGGTTTTTAAACAGGCTGAACCTCTCCTCACAATTGGTAATTGCCAAAAGTAACTCTGTGAACTTTTCGTTTATCTCTACAACATCCTTTTCATCAACAAACAGAACTGCATGAGGTTGCTCTAGAATTTTTAATCCAATCTGATTTTTCTTGCCTTTTGCAGAAGGAATCCTTGAATGCCCCACAGAACGATCTTGAACATACTGTCCTATGCTTCCCTTCGGTACTTTAAGGAGTTTTTGTGTTTGTTTGTCTGTAACGCTGCACTCTTGAAGAAGCAAATAAAAAATCCGCTCTTCCCAGTAGGGCGAGGTAACTTTTTCTTGGCTCCATAAGCCTGAACTCATTGTGATATTAAATTCAAAATACTAACTCAAAAAAAGGAAATTACTAATAACTTTGTCATAAAACCACAAAAGATAAATTCAGTGGAAGTCCCAAAGCATGTTTTCAGCAATGTAGTGTCCATGCTGTAAAAAAGAAAGCAAATCAAAATGCCTGGTGAAGAAGCAAAAATACACTTTAGACTTCATTCTACACGACTTAAAATTAAGGTTGAAGATTTTAAATTTTTCATTTAACCAGTAAACACATACACACAAATGAAGTATTTCCAAAAAATATCTAAAAGGGCTAAAAGCCATACAGCATATTACTTTTATCTACTGTAACTGTGCATATTTAATTAATGAAATCCAACTGTAAATACTTCCAAAGACAACACAATAATGTTTACTTCCAAGAACCATATACAATCAGATTCTAGTAAAAACTTTTAAAGGTTACCCTTATACATACTCTTACATTCTATGTTTTTAAATGTATTTGTATGTATTTATTTATTTTGAGTTGGGGTCTCACTCTTATTGCCCAGGCAGGAATGCAGTGACACAATCATGGCTAACTGCAGCCTTTACATCCCAGGCTCAAGTGATCCTCCTGCCTCAGCCTCCTGAGCAGCTGGGATTATAGGCACATGTCACCACACCCAGCTAAGCTTTCTATTTTTTGTAGAGACAGGGTCTCACTATGTTGGCTAAGCTGGTCTTGAACTCCTGGCCTCCCAACATGCTGGGATTACAGTCATAAGCCACCAGGCCCAGCCCATATTCAGCCACTAACAAACTTAAAAAGTAGCATTTGGGCATTTGGGCTGGTTCCTGGATAAAGAAAATATGGCACATATACACCATGGAATACTATGCAGCCATAAAAAAGGATGAGTTCATGTCCTTTGCAGGGACATGGATGAAGCTGAAAACCATCATTCTCAGCAAACTGACACAAGAACAGAAAACTAAATACCACATTTTCTCACTCATAAGTGGGTGCTGAACAATGAGAACACATGGACACAGGGAGGGGAGCATCACATACGAGGGCCTGTTGGGGGGACTAGGGGAGGGATAGCAGGGGTTGGGTGGGATTGGGGAGGGCTAACATTAGGAGAAATACCTAACATTGATGACAGGGGGATGGATGCAGCAAACCACCATGGCACGTGTATAACTTATGTAACAATCCGGCACGATCTGCACATGTACCCCAGAACTTAAAGTATAATTTTTTTAAAAAATGTAGCATTTGGGGCTGGGCTCTGTGGCTCATGCCTGTAAATGATAGCTATGATATGGCCATATTTTGATAATGGAACATTTTCCCTCTGACTCAACTTCATTTTACATATTTTGTCCATAGATGGGCAATGTTCATCACATTAATCGTAGTTATCATCTAATTTCTCAAATCACAAATATCAGACATTATGATTATATTAAAGATATTTTTAAAATCAATTTTGTAGCATCAAAACATCTACTACATAGCAAGGGAATATCATGACATAACTGCATTATAATTTATTTCTATGACTTCTTTTTCAGCTTCAAATTTTCATTTATTTCATTAATTTATTTATTTTCCAAACAGGGTCTCACTCTGTCACCCAGGCTTGAGTACAGTGGTGGGATCACAGCTCACTGCAGCTTCAAACTCCTGGGCTGAAGTGATCCTCCCACCTCAGCCTTCAAGGTTCTGGGATTACAGTCATGAGCAACAGTACCTGGTCCTCATTTAAAATTTTTACTAGAATAATAATCTTTCCAATGAAGCAGCCTCATTCTCAAACCTATTTGAACTGATGATTTAAAAACTACACAATTTCATTAATTCAAACTGAGACTTTACTTCATTATTTTAATTAATTTTTTGCCAAAAACAGTGATTCCTAGGTTTCCCTGTCATAAGAATGTGGCTACCTGGTTTCCAAATACAATATTTATTTCATCCTTCCTTGAGCTAGAGGGATCCATTTCCATTATACTGGGTAATGGCTGTAATTGAGAGCACTATCATATTTATTTTATTCTAGCAATTAAAAAATAAATACTCCTAAAACGAAAGAACGAAATTTTAGATTTAATCACTTTATAATCAAACAACCTGGCAAATCTATACAGAGGAACATTTCTTTTAGAAAGCACTGTTAGATAATGAAGTTTTCCACAATAGTAGGGTTTTTAAAAGTCTCTCCCTCTACAAGCCAGCAGGAGACATGTGGTTTGGCCAAGACAGGCTGCAGGTTAGGCGCCCTCTTCACACCAACATTACTGAAATATCTACAGAACACTCCGTGAGGGTAAAGGCAGAGGCAGCATAAAGGGGTTCTCCTTTTTCCTTCGTCTTTGTTGTGTGTTTGTTTTGATTCCACTTGAGGGCACTGTCTACTTCAGCAAGAATGGGATCAATTTATATTTGCTACTTATATAAGACACCTGTGGAAACAACTATCTTGACAGTCTATAAACAAAATTCATAAAAGCTGCCCAAACAGCTACCCAACCCCTCAACTTGGTTCTATTCCTTTAAAGGTCCAAAATGAAGTGTTTGTTCGTTTTGACCAAAATGCTTTTAACATGTCAACACTTTCCACAAGAAAATGTCCTTATTTTTTTTCTTGATCATTGATTTACCATTATGACTGTAAATTATTTTGCATAACTCTTGATCTGCAAGGCTCTTTGTTATTTTGTTAAAGGCTCTACCTTATGCATCCTGAGCTCACAAATGCTCTCTACAGATCTACTGTCTAGAGTTTTCCCTTGCAATCAGCCATTTTCTGTGGTTTCCTGCTGTATGCATTTGACTCCTTTTACGGCCTTGTTGCTTTCCAACTTACTGCTTTGAATCAGTTCTGAGAAGCCAGGTGGTGAAATATGTTTGAGTATTTGAAAAAACAAAGTCACGATAGTGAAAAGAGGAATGCAGACATTCAGAATGCGTCTTCAGGAGTAAAGGACACGTGGGCTCTATTGAAATAGAGATTTTGGTCACTCCCAGAAGGTTAAGATAGTCAAAAAGCAACTGCCAAAAAAATGAGCTGTTGTTTTGGTTCTCTTTAAAATATGTTTAGATTTTTTGGGCCAAAACATTTTTTGATAAAGGTAAAGCAATTCTATTTTGAAAAGAAATTCTTTTTAAAAAATGCCTAAAAATAATGTCTTCAAATATTACAATCAGAAACTTCCTTGAATCTCAATAATTGCTTATATACCAAGAGCTCCTATTCTATTGGTCTTCTAGCTTAACAATTCATGTCACAATTTAAAATAAAAATCATTAGTGCTAATAACCTATTATTAAGACAAAAATGAATTACTAAATGTAATGCATTAGGACACTATTATAAATAAATTTGATTATAAACTTGCTGTCTGAAATCATTTAAGGGAGAGAATCCACAGTAAAAATTGATATAACTGCTAGGTTTTTACAAACGTTTGAGGGTAATAAACAATAGCTTTCAAGTACCATATTTTAAAGTAAACTCCACAAGGAGTGGCAAACTTTTTCCTTTCATCAGCACAAGTGGAAATGAGCTTAGACTTAGTAACAGGATGGGTCATGGCAGATAACTAGAACAGTCAAAGTACAAGTTATCAAATATTTAAGAAGCATTATCCAAAAATAAAGGATGCAGCCTCTCCTCTTTCAGAAAGAACAGATTAAGAACAGGTTTGAAACTATCATATTAAAAATTGATTCTCTTCACTGCAACTGATAGAAAAAGTTGAATGGGAAACTTGATGGCTTGAGTCTAGAGATAAGGCAATAAACTAAATGATCATTAATATTCTCAGCAGTGAGGTAGCTCATGCCTGGAATCCCCAGCACTTTGGGAAGCCAAGGTGGGTGGACTGCTTGAGCCCAGGAGTTCAAGACCAGCCTGTGCAACATAGTGAAACCCCATCTCTACAAAAAGTACAAAAGTTAGCCAGGTGTGATGATGTGTGTCTGTAGTCCCAGCTACTTGGGAGGGTGAGGTGGGAGGATGGCTTCAGCCCTAGAGGGTGGGGCTGCAGCAAGCCATGATCGCACAACTGCACTTCAACCTGGGTGAAAAAGCAAGACCCTCTCTCCCTCTCTCTCGATCTCTCTCTCTCTCACTCTCTCTTTCACACACACACACACACTACATATATATATATATATAAATATATATATTTATTTATTTATTTTATGTACTCAAAATACCACTATTACAATAGAAATATACTAACATACGTTTCTCCCCACTGTAAAAGTGAATATAACACCAACATTGTACTTTCACTGGGATGTGCACAGTCGTTAAATAGTTAAAGTCTTAGGTACCCCAAGCATTAAAAAGTGACTCAACACAATATGAAGGGAAAGATCTAAATCACATTATAAATGAGTTATTTATCAATCTAGAAGGTTTGTTTGTTAGTTTGGTATTGTTTATGCTTTCAGCATGGAGTTAAATACTAAAAACTACATCTGGGCTAGGCACCGTGGCTCACTCCTGTAATCCTAGCATTCTGGAGGCTGAGGTGGGAGGATCCCTTAAGCCCCAGAGTTCAAGGCTTTACTGAGCTGTGATAGCGTTACTGCAGTCCAGTCTGAATGACAGAATGAGAGCCTGTCCCAAAAGGAAAAAAAAAAAAGGAAGAGAAAATTAGCCAGGTGTGGTGGTGTGTATAGGTATGTGGTCCCAGCTACTCGGGGAGCTGCTCAGGAGGATGGGAGGATCACTAGAGCCCAGGACGTCCAGGCTGAAGTGAGTTATGGCCACACCACTGCACTCCAGCCTGAGTGACAGAGCAAGACCTTATCTCAGAATCACATACACACACACAAACACACACACACACACACACACACACACACACACACACACACCAATCTACTTTCTACATTCACTCAGCTTCTGCCTGAACAGTAAAACAACCGAAGGAAAAAGCAGCACTGCTAAATTCAAAGTCACCGTAGGGCAGGTGGGGGAGAGGGGTCAGTGTGAAGGGAGAAATTTTCATTTGTATTCTCTTACTACTTTGCAGGTTGAATCACTTTAAGCGAGTAGATAACAAATGACTCATCTAAATACTATCTTACTTCAGGCTGGATAACTGTGTGATTATGTACATCCTGGTAATAAATACTGAATGAAAATTACCAAAGAGTTGAAACACAATAATATGTTTAACCCTAAAGCCATGTTGAACAGAAGGCCTTTCCTTTGAGGACATTGAAGAAGAACAGTTCAGGGTCACATAGATTTGAAAACAGTTCTGGTTATTTGAGCTTGCTGAGAGTCTGGATTCTGAGTAAAGGGAAACTTAATTGTATTAAGATGAAGTCATTAAACCACGATGTGGGTTGGAAGGCACAAATATTTATCAATTTTCCATGAAGGCAATGGAAAGATGATCATGAAATAAGTTTTACATGAAAACCTTAAAGATTACAATTACCACATTCTGTAAGGCAACATACAGTACAAATGAACATCGGTTGCTACAGAAAACTGACAACGGTTAACTTATCCAGAAAATAGAGTGTGTTTCTGATTCTCAAGTTATCAGGTTATATTGTTCATAAGCATCTCACAAAGACAGATCCAATGCAAGAGCTTTTTCCATCTCCTGAGATATTCTGCTTGTTTTGAAAACCACAGGAAGCTATCTATATTAGAATAAAAATCACAATACTTAACTCTGTCCCTAATTATAAAAGGCAAAGAGGTACGAAGGTCAGCGTGACCACCAAGGAAAGAAGACATGTGGGCCTTTTTCCAAAAGCTTTTAGATAGCTAGAATGATTGCCCTTTTAAAAAAGAACACCTCTCACTAAAAGACAAAGTTGTTATATTCCTAAACAGCTAAAGAATAGGGATACAGAAATTCCATGGCCAGAAAAGAGACTGAGTCAGTTTTAGTTTTCCTCAATGACTAACTTGTGCTACAAGCACACATTCCCTAATATAAGTGGGATTTATACGGTTAAAAGAAAAAAAGAAAAAAGCCTGGCTCCCACATCTGCATGTTCCCACCAGAACCAGGAATATTGCTGTCTCTCTAATGTTAAACATAGCCACTCTACTGCCAAACTGTGAATTCCCCAAGTCCTTCATTTTTATATTATCCAGTGCCCACACTAGAGCCTGGCATATGCTAGGCACTGAATACGGAGAAATGAATGAAGGACTCAAATGGTAACAGTGAAAACAAAATTGCATTTCCTCCTTCTGTTTAAGGGATTAAACAAAGAGAAAGAGAAAAGAAAAAGACTCAGGAATTGGGAGTATTTAATGATTTTTGCCTAAAACTTCACTAATTTTCTGGATAAAATGAAGTCATGGTAAACCACTTCATTGTTATACACATAAGAAGAAACAAATATGGAAAATGTCACAATTATGAAACCAGGTTGTTTTGAGGTTTGACACTATACCCTCATTAGCATGTATGATGCTTATAAATCCTCTACAACCAATGTAAAAAAATAAAAAAACTAAGATCATAGTGTGAAAATCAGGAACAAAATACTATAGTTTGATAAAGAGCATAATTATTCCTTTCTCCTTGTGTTGAAGGCTTCCTTAAATCAAACAAAACCACAGTTTACGTGGCCCAGACTACAAAAATCATTGGTGCTTAATGTTTGTTGTTGCTTTATATAACAAGCCTTATCTGCTTCTCACAAAAGTTACCACCCAAAGGAAGATTTATTTGCAAGAGTACTATAAAATTTTGCAGCAGAATATTAGAGAATGTTCTGGGTGTTCTCGACGTTCAGAGTATATGAACTTCAATAAGAATTTCCAGCAAATCATTTCTCCTAATACTGTTGTAGTTCAAATCCACCCACTGCTCAGTGGGGAATGGGAGGCTAAATTCTTAAGGCCATTCAATCTACTTGGGGCATGAGGGGGTGTGTAGAAAGCCAACAATCGAATGAACACCCTCTCAAGGCTTGGGTGCCTCTCTGAAAGTCAATGATTGCAAAATGAACAGTATTATTAAGATCCCTAATTAGCCCAAATTCAAAGGCTAGGTAGGCATGCTCCTTAGCTGAGCTAAGGATACAACTTTCCAGGAAAAACTGGGGAGAGGATGGTGGTAGGGATGATGGGGGCTGGAAGATTGAAAGGCCACAGGCTTGGTAGCTGGAAGATGACAACTATCCTAAAACATGTAAATGTCAAGGGGTGGAAGAAAAATGATGCCAAGTACATGAATAACCAGGCAGCTGACCCAGCTGAGAACCAAACTCAACAGCATCTTCCTCAAGATTTGATGACTTCCTCCCCCGAGCCCCCCCTCATTCATCGTTAGCATAAAAGAAAAACATAAAGAAAGAATACCTGTCACAACGAGGCGCACCTTTCAACTAAAGAACTCCGGGTGGCTGTGTAGAACCATCCTCACCCTGGAAAGGTTGAAACTGAAAGAAAAAACAGAACACGCCATTAACGAGGCCAGAACCCCGACCGAGATTCCTGGACCGGAGCCACCAACACCCCCAAAACCAATCGGTGCTTACGCCCCGCGGCGCAGACCGGAGGAATCACAGCCCCGGGCTCCCAAGGCCAACCGTGGCCGTCGGGACCCGCCAGCGGCCTGTGCCTCAGTCTCCCCATCTGTAAATGGGGTGGGGGAGAGGAGGGGGGCTGCGTCCCGCGCGGCTCCCGCTTCAAGTCCCCTCTCCTCTGGGGGTCCCGACGGCGGCAACCACGCACGCTCCCCGGACTCAGAGCCCTCCCGGGAAGCCTCGGGGGGGTGGGGAAGTCCCGGGGGTGGGGAAGCCCGGGCTGACGTAAGCGGGCTCGGCACCCCCCGGGCCCGGCCGGCTCGGGCCCGGGCAACTAACGGGTCGGCGCCGAGGGCCCGATGGTCGCCGCGGCGGCTCCGGGAGCCCAGAGGCCGGGCGGCTGTGCAGAGGGGATCGGGCCGCCAGCCGCCCGCAGCCCGCCGCCCGCTCACTCACTCGCCTCCAGCGGCGGGGCGTAGCCCTTCGCTCCGGCTCCCAAGCCCGCGTCCCGGGCCGGCCCCGGAGCCCCACACCCACCGCCCTAGTATTTACCTCCGACGCTCGGCCCCCGCGCAGCCGAACCTGCTACCTGGGCCCGCCCCCACCTGCCCCGCCTCCGAACCGCCCAGGGGAGAGGGAGGGAGCGGGGGCGGAGGGGGGAGCCGCCGCGCTAGCCAATCGCAGGCCGAACTGCGCTCTTGAGCGGGCCCTGATTGGGCCTCCCTGTGACAGACCTTCCTCCAATGGCTGCCAGCCCGGCGCCGACCGAAGGGACTTTCCGCTCGGTCAAGCTCGGTGGAGCCAAAGGGAAAGCGGAGGGGCGGGGCGGAGAAGAGTGGGGAAGGAGGCGGGGAGCTCGAGCTGATTGGGCCAAAGGGCGCGGGTGCCGCGTCACCATTGGCTGATGCCGGAACTGGGGCGGGGCGCTGTGCTGCTCCCAGCTCCGCCTCCCGTGCTTCTCCCTTAGCTGTCAAAACTGTAGACGCTTAGGTTTGGACTAGGTTGGGAGACCAGACAAAGGTTGGGAACAGGATTCCAGGATGCCGTGAGAAAGCAAAGCTTTAGAATCAGACCTCAGTTTGAATCTTTGGCTCTTTCATTCAGTGGCCGCGTGACCCAGGGAAGTCACAACCGCGCTGAGCCTCAATGTCCTCATCTGTAAAATGGAGATCATAGTATCGGTTGTCTTACAGGATGGAGGCAAAATACCGAGTTAAAGTTCCTGGCACGCAGTAGCAGCTCAGGAAAAGTTCATCTCTTCCTCCCCCGCAGATTCAGCCTGGGACGCTTGCTGTTTCTGAACCTCTATTGCCACCTATCCCAGTTTGGAGGGAATTCTCCCAAGGATGGTGAAGAAGGGATTTCCACACGCCGCCTCACTCAGCCCCGCACCCCTGGCCACCAGCCAGGACTTAGGGTGTAGTTAAGGATCTTTCAATTAGAAGGGAGGCTTCTGATTCCCAAAAGTACTCAAAATATTTAAGGAAGTGCTTTTTATAATCAGTCCCAGAGCCTTGCTGCACTGGATACTCCTGTTAATTAATTTCTTCTCCTTTGACATTTTAAGTGCTAATTATAGGAGAAGGTGATTAACACTGAGAAAGGAGGAGGGGTGTGTGTGTGTGTGTGTGTGTGTGTGTGTGTGTGTGTATGTGTGTGTGTGTGTTTAATCATGACACAAATTTCCCCCAGTGGAAAGTGACATGTTTCTGGAGATCCAGGGAATTTAAACCAATGAATACACAAAAGCAATCACATGAGTGATGACTAACAGTAGCAGTAGACAGGCCACCCCTCTTCGTTGCCATAGTCATCCAAAGTGAAATGAACATCTTTGGAAAACTTAAGCCTCATTCTGCTCCTGTCCCTGTTTGGTCACCCCTATTCTTCCTGTCTCCCAGGCTCCATGACCACACTGTGGTAGGAACCCTTAAGCAGGAAATCAACAGGCCTGGCTTGAAGTGTGGCCTTAGGCAGAACCATTCTCCTCTAAATCTGGATTCTCCAACAAAGCTGGAAGGACTCAGAGGTCACAATCCAACTATCTGGAAGAAAATTTCAGCTGAAACTTGTTTTTGCCTAACCCATAAAATAAGAAGGAGGAAAGAGAAAACAAAATGAAGGAGAGAGATTTGGGGTCCTTTTAGGCAAAGCAAACATTCTCATGTTACCCCGGGGACCACTTCTCTTGTCTGCACCATCTACATCTACTGGTCTCTTAAGGCATTTGAGTTTGCCAGCAGGGACTGGAACATTTTTGTGTTCCTTTTTTTTGTTTTGTTGTTGTTGTTGTTTGGTTTTCTGGTTTGTTTGTTTGTTTGTTTAGAGATAGAGTCTTGCTCTGTTGCCTAGGCTGGAGTGCAGTGATGCCATCTCAGCTCACTGCAACTTTTGACTCCCAGGTTCAAGCAATTCTCCTACCTTAGCATCCCAAGTAGCTGGGATTGCAGGTGCCTGCCACCATGCTCCACTAATTTTTGTATTTTTAGTAGGGATGGGGTTTCACCATATTGGCCAGGCTGGTCTCAAACTCCTGACCTCACATGATCTGCCTACCTCGGCCTACCAAAGTGCTGGGATTACAGGCGTGAGCCACCATGCCCGGCCCATTTTTGTGTCCTTTCTGTTGATGGCATTTAGTGCTGCTGAGGTCTCTACTTCCATAGGGCATTATTCCCCAGGCTCTACCCTCCTGTCACAGGTTCACTGAATCAGTGCCGGGGTCTGACTTCATCTAAGAGATCTTCATCCAATTCAAGCCTGACAAATGGGGCCTATCTCAATTACCATTTCCTATCAATTGGGAATGGCTACCTAGAACGTTGTGTTAAAGCTAATTCTGAACTTGTGTTCAGGCTCACCGGGAAGAGAGATATCTGCCAGGGAATGAGATGGGGAGATAGTGTCATGGTGCTATTATTTACAGTCCTTGGTAAACCAGCCTCTCATTTTACAGATGGGAGATGAAGGTCCAAAGATGGTAAATTACTAGCCCCCCTGACACTCAGGAGATGGGCTGACACCGTAATTCCAAGCCAAGGCTCTTTCCACCTCTGTTTAAATGGATTCCCCAACTGAAATGCTCATCCCCTCTGCTTTCCAAATACTCCCTTCGTGGAGGGCCCAGTCAAGATCTTTACAGATAGGTCCTTGCAGAGGGCTCCAGCCCTCACTAATGACCTCTCTGAATCCACCACCCCACAGCCTCTTCCATCTAACCTGGTCCTGGGTTCATGGAATTAACGGTTGAGTTACTGAGCAGGTGCCAGGAAACAGCAGTGTACAAGAGAGACGCCACTCTGCCTCTGGCCAAAAAAAAAAAAAAAAAAAAGGCAAACTAAAAAACTCATTAGATGATCACTTACTTAATTGTGGCTCTGGTAAGCCTCAGAAGAAGAATCTCTCTGAGCATGCCTAAAGGGGTGTGGGCCACTCAGGGAAGGCCTGTTTGAGGACATCACCTTTGAGAGGAGATAGTAAAGATAACTGGCAGGGAGGAGTGAGGGGGAACACTCAGAAATAGCGAACAGGCAAGTGAATGACCTGTTGAAGAAACTGGAAGAGGCAGAGCACAGATAATGAGGACACAAAAAGGCTTTGAGAGCCAAGGACAGGGGTTGGTCTCCATCCAAGAGCAGTGGGAAGTTTTTGAAGGGTTTTACAGGTAAAATAACATTGGGGTTTTGTTGTTGTTGTTGTTTTGTTTTTGTTTTTGCTTTTGCTTTTATTTTTTTGAGATGGAGTCTCACTCTGTTGCCCAAGCTGAAGTACAGTGGCACAATCGTGGCTCACTGCAGCCCCAGTCTCCTGGGCTCAAGTGATCCTCCCCCCTCAGTCTCCCGAGTAGCTGGGACTACAGGTATGCACCACCATACCCAGCTAACTTTTCTCTTTTTAGTAGAGACAAGGGTCTCACTATGTTGCCAAGGCTGATCTTGAACTCCTGGCTTCAAGTGATCCTCCTGCCTTGGCTTCCCAAAGTGCTGGGATTGGCATGAGCCGCTGTGCCTGACCTAACACTGATTTTAAGCTGTCTTGTGTAGTTCTCTCATTGCACACAGCCAGAAGCCAACATAAAGCTACTGAATTGAATGGAGCTTTCCCCATGGAGGGTGGTAAACTCCAGGTAGCCTGGTAGGGTCATGGGACATAGAGTAGCACATGGCCAGGACTCAAGGGAACCTGTTCAGTGGCACCAGTAATGGTTATTGACTAGGCCCTGCCCCATGCTTCCCAGTGCCTACCACGGGGTACCTCCCACTTGCAGTCTCTCCAAATTTAGTGTCTCTTTTATATCCTACCGCCTTCTCAGCATCTCCACTCAATGCAGCCAAAAGCGAACTCCTGATATTCCCCACCACCACCCCCTGCAATCCCTCTGCTTTCCCCATCTTGGTAAATGGCAACTCCCAGATGTTCATCCAACTTCCCGTGGTTCCAGCCATTTTCCCACCAATCCTGTGAATATGGGCATTCAGAATGAACACTGGGGCAAGGGGTTAATGGGACCAGGTATCCCCACAAGCAAAGATATGTCACAGGCACGTTCCCTACAGTAGCCCAGCACAGTGTTTTGATCAGTGGATGTCGGGCTGAGTCTTCCATCTCTGAGATACGATTATCTCTTAGGGAAGAGAAATTCCAACTGCAACTGAACATTCTGTCTGGGGACTTTTACTCTGGCCACCTAAAAGCTCTTTTTGATAAGATAAAAGGGATTTCTTTAATCATCTTTAAACTAATCCAGCTGAACTATAAATCCATGCTCTCCTGTTTGAGCTATTTGCTGATATCAATCACAAATAATTTCTATGTTTGATTTTTAAAACACACACAGAAAGCTCTTTATTAAAGGAAACTTTCTGCCACATCTGGGTCCCATTTTGGGGCAGATGATGCATTAGAGGTGGTTCCACTTCCCAGGGAATCTTCCTCCTTTAGGAAAGAGACATAAACAATGTCGGAAAAAGGGGGACTCATCCTTACAAGCTGCCCCAAATTCTATTTTCTGCCCTCTTTAAAAAAAGAAAGTGGATCCTTCATTCATTCAACAAATATGTATTGAGCACCTACTATGTGCTAGGCACCTTTGTTGACTCTGAGGACACTGCAGTGAGCAAGTTCCTGTTCTCAAGAAGCTGACATTCTAGGGGAAGGAAAAAATGACCAGGTGTCAGGTAGTTTGTACAGGGAAGACAATACAAAAGAGGGTAGGCAGTGGCTGGGAACTGCTATTTAAGTAGATTTTTCAGGGGAGGACTACCTCATGGAGGTGGCATTTGAATTAAGACTGGAAGGAAACGAAGAAGCCAACCACACCACTGTCCCTGGGAACAATGTTCCTATAGGAGGGGGCAGGTGAGCACAGAGGTCTGGAAGCAGCCATGTGCCTGGTATGCTCAGGAAACAGCGAAGAAGCTGGTGAGGTTGGAGCCCAGAGAACAGGTGTGAGTGACAAAGGGGAGGCCAGAGAGGACACAGGGGGTCCCAGTCAGATAAGACCTTGACTATTACCCTGCATCAGACAAGAAGAACTGAGAATTTAAATCAGGGCAGTGGCTGGTCTGACCTACATTGTAATATGTTCACACGTTGGATCAAAGACAGAAACAGGAAAACTGATGCAGTAACCCAGGCAAGGGTGAATCCCAAAGGTATGACCTTCTTTCCTGGGGGTGGAGGCAGAGCAGGTGAGAGGGAGAGGCGGAGGAGAATGTGTAACTGAAGATATCAAGAGAGAAGTTGTTGCAAATCAGAGAGAGGAGTAGCGCTCCCCAAAAGAAGCGTTTTCAGAGTGAGTGATCAGGGGAGTGGTGAGGCTTAGGGAACTGGATCTGTGGATTGTTCAGGAAATAATAATAGGTTAAGATTAAATAAGAGGAAAAAAAACTATCCAAGGGCAGCCAATCAAAGAGCCTGGATTGCCAGTCTTCCCTGCTGCAGTCTCCACTGGCAATTCTCCAGGGGAAATGTCCTTTACGACCTTACGGCTCACCTGGAACCTACCACCTGGGGCCTGAGGCAGCACATCCCTTCATGCCCGGGCACTGCCAGGCATTGCCCTGAGTGCTGGGCACTTCACACCCTGGGCTGGGCCACTCACCGGAGTGAAGATGGTGGCTTGAAGCTGTCCTGGTACAATAATAGAATGAAGTGCCAATCTCAACTCAGCAGCTTGGAATAAGACTCCACCTCTCACATTTCTGTGGGGCGTATTCATTTCAGCTTTTTGTTTGGTGCTATGGGAGGGAAGGGCCCTCATATTGGCATCCTTTTGCTTCAAGGATGATGGTGAATATCTGAGGCTCCTTTTTAAATTCTGCTCTAATATCTTTTCTTCTATGCATAAAAATTATGTATCCTTAGCTGCAAAACTGGAATCCGTCTGCTCATGGATAAACTCCTGGCATGAGCATGTACCTTTCAGGTAATCTCCCTATCACAGAAGCTTACGATTAAGAATCCTACTTCCCTACACAGGCCCAGGAGGCTTTTAGTTAGGGAATTTCTCCTACTCTGAACTCTACCAGGAATCACGTATCAAGATCTCAGCACCATCTTCCCTAGGCCTTCTTGACCTCTTCTTTCTCCATAATCACTTTCTAGCCCACATCATCCAGCCACAAGGGCCCCATTCTCAGTCTGACACTCGAACTCCAAATTCACACCATTCTTTCACATCCCCTCTTCTCCTCTCCATTTTGGTGTCTCAGATTTGACAATTCAAAACAGAACTCCCTCCCACTTCCAAACTGGTTTCTTACCCAACTTCCCCAGGCCCCCAGTTTCTCAAGTCAGAAATCTATGAGTCATCCTTGATGTTTGCCATTGCCTCATCCCTCCCATCCAACCCATTCGTGAGCCCTTGGGAATCCACCTCCGAAATGTCTCTGGAATCCATCCTCTTCTCTCTGCCTCCACCGCCAACCGCCTCTCACCTGCCATAGCTTGGAGGCAGCCTCCCACTCCTTCTTCCTCCCATCCCCACCCCTACATATTCCTGTCCCGTCTCCTCCCAGGAGCAAGGGAGATCTTCTTTAACTGTAAATGACACAAATTATTCCCTTATAGTCCTGGAGGCCAGAAGTCCAAAATGGGCTGGAGCCAAGGCAGGCAGGGCTATGCTGCTTGCAGGGGTTCTAGGGGATAATCTGTTTCCTGGTCTTCTTCAGTTTCTAGAGCTGCAATCCTTGGCTCATGGCCCCTTCCTCCACCTTCAAAGCCAGTACTGTAGCATCTTGCTTGGTGGTCACACTGCTTTCTTCTCCAGTGTCCTATTTCCCTTTGCTTTACATTTTCCTGTAAATTTCTCTTACAAGGAAACTGCAATTGCATTTAAGACTCATCCGGATGACCCAGGATAATTTTCCCGTCTCAAGACTCTTAACTGAATTCCACCTCCAAAGTCCCTTTTGCCACATAAGGCAACATTCACAGGTCCCGAAGATTAGGATCCACATATCTTCTGGAGCCACTGTTGAGCCTACCATGCATACAAGTCTGCTTCCCCCACCAGCATCTTTGTACCTCTTGTTCCCTATGACCAGAACATTCACTTCTTCCCTCTCACCCTTTGCTTGGCCATCTCTTTCTCATACCTGGGGACAGAGCTTACCTGGCATCTCCTCAGACAACCTGCCTTGGACCAACCCAACAGTCTGAAGACTTTTTTTTTCTTTTTGATACAGAGTCTTGCTCTGTTGCCCAGGCTGGAGGGCAGTAGTGTGATCTCGGCTCACTGCAACCTCTGCCTCCCGGGTTCAAGTGGTTCTCCTGCTTCAGCCTCCTGAGTAGTTGGGATTATAGGTACCCACTACCACGCCTGGCTAATTTTTGTATTTTTAGTAGAGACAGAAGTTTCACCATGTCAACCAGCCTGGTCCTGAACTCCTAACCTCAAGTGATCCACCCACCTCGGCCTCACAAAATGCTGGGATTACAGGCATGAGCCACAGTGCCTAGCTGAAGACTTTTTAATGTCTTTTTCAACTGACTTGTTTTCTGCCTGCCTCTCCCTTTACCCTCACCTAGGCATCCTGAGGACCATGTCTGTTTTGTCCAACCACTGGTTGTCCTAATATAACTGGTTAATAAATCATTGCTAAATTTGTTTATTTATTTATGACAGTCTTGCTCTGTTGCCCATGCTGGAGTGCAGTGGCATGATCTCAGCTCACTGCAACCTCCTCCTCCAAGATTCAAGTGATTCCCTTGCCTCAACTTTCCAAGTAGCTGGGATTACAGGTGTGCACTGCCACACCCAGCTAACTTTTTTGTTTTCTTGAGACGGAGTCTCGCACTATCGCCCAGGCTGGAGTGCAATGGTGCAATCTCAGCTCACTGCAACCTCCGCCTTTCAGGTTCGAGCAAGTCTCCTGCCTCAGCCTCCCACGCAGCTGGGATTACAAGTGCCCACCACCACGCCTGGCTAATTTTTTGTATTTTTAGTAGAGATGCAGTTTCACTTTGTTGACCAGGCTGGTCTGGAATTCCGGACCTCGTGATCCACCCGCCTCAGCCTCCCACAGTGCTGGGAATACAAGCGTGAGCCACCTCACCCAGCCTTTTTGTTGTTGTTGTTGTTGTTAGTAGAGACAGGGTTTCGACACGTTGGCCAGGCTGGTCTTGAACTCCTGATCTCAAGTGTTCCACTTGCCTCAGCCTCCCAAAGTACTGGGATTACAGGTGTGAGCCACCATGCCTGGCTTCATTACTGAATGAATTTAAAGATGACAAATTAACAACCCAATACAACGCTATGCAAATGGACTGCTGTGTGTAGCTCCTGAGCAAAAAGAGACCCATCACCAACTTCCTCCTGATCTGCTATATCAAAAACAATGGCCTGGGCAGAACAGGGCACCGACCACAAAGAAAACCCATAGACATGCTCCCACACAGGGCCTGGGGAGATGCCGCACCACCGAGTGAGCCAGACACACACAAAACCTTTGAAGGAAGTAGGACTTCACCTTGGTGGGCAGCCACCGGAGCCCTTGCTCATTCAACGCAGCTAAGTAAGAATTATTTTAACACAAGGCCTGCATGGGAGGCTGCCTGCTGTGGAGAGCTGTACGTAAATCTACACCATCTTGCTCCTGTTAAAGGCTCCTGGAGCCACTTTGAGGGAATCGAGGAAGGCCAAGGGGCTTTTTCACATGTGCTGCAGCCACCTGGGTCAGGAGGCGCCTGGTAGCTGCAAACTTCACAGTAGGTTACACTTTTCTAAACTGAAGCTAAAAATGTTTTGATTGCCTGGCTATATTCTAAGAATTGCCTTAGCCTTAAGGTATACATAATCAAGTTGAAAACATCATTTTCCCCCTTTTGAATTGAAAATTGTGCTTTAAAATTTGACAAGTTTTAGGAATATTTTTATTTATTTATTTTTGAAATGGAATTTTGCTCTTGTTGCCCAGGCTGGAGTGCAATGGTGCAATCTTGGCTCACTGCAACCTCCACCTCCCAGGTTCAAGCAGTTCTCCTGCCTCAGCCTCCCAAGTAGCTGGGATTCCAGGCGTGCACCACCACACCCGACTAATTTTGTATTTTTAGTAGAGACAGGGTTTCTCCATGTTGGTCAAGCTGGTCTCGAACTCCTGACTTCAGGTGATTGGCCCGCCTCGGTCTCCCAAAGTGCTGGGATTATAGGTGTGAGCCGCCACGCCCGGCTGGAATATTTTTAAATGTTTGGTCACAAGGAAGATGGCTGTGTTGACTCAATAGTTTATTTCCCTCTGATTATTGACAGCATAAAGTTCACGGTCATGTTGTCTATAAAAGTATAAACTTGGGACAATAAAACAGTGATGTGTAAATATTAACCCATTTTCACACATCATAATGTTTAAAATAATCATATTTGCACACAAAGGCTTCAACATGCATCATTTTGAATAATCCAGGAAGACATTTGCTTAGAAGGAAGGGCCTGATTTTGCTCCTGGAAGCTTTCAATCCATAACTGTACATCCTAAAGCATTCTGGCACAAATGAAATGGAACTGCCTCTTGTGGGTCTATTTCAGAAGTCTGTTGTCAGAGTTCAGTTCACGGGCATCAACCAGAAGCCTAGTGGGGCCGTTTGAAATTCTGGCCCAGATTAATATTTTAAAGCTGCATTTGGAGCTTTTGAAAGTGGAGCTGTTTCCAAAGGCTTAACTGAGGAGTAATTGATTTCACTGGAAATAAAAGGCCATGTGTGATCCCAGCTGGAGTGTGGTCATATTGTTCTTTCAAACCTGGAATGTCTTGGGGGAACAAATGGCTGGCCTGTGTCCCCTTCCAAAAATGTCTTAAGCACCAGAAAGGGGGGCAGGCTTAGGTGTAGCCCTTCCCACCCTGGGTGCCAGGGTTGCAGGTGCTGTAAGTGAAATATCAAAGCTGAGGTCACTAAATATATTCTGAATTTCAACCTCAGAGGAAGGAGTGTGTGCAGGAGTCCAGGAGGAGGGGAGGAACCCAAGGTGGAGAACGTCCTGCGTGGATGAGCCAAGACATGGGGAAAGTTGCTTCCTGAATTATGTGTTCTGTGTACTCTTCATCAAAGCAGTGGGAAGAGGTCTTCCGTGAGAGTCCAGGTCTCTCCACCAACAGGCACTCTGTTAACAGGCACATCCATGGGCCTCACTGACCCGCATGGGAACCCGGGAGGATCAGCAGGGACCAGCCCAATACCACGGGGAAGGGACTGCCCCTCTTGTACATCCTGGGATTGAATCTTGGGAAGAAGTCAATGGCAAAAATAGGCTTGGGAAAAGTCTATCCTGGAAGGCACTGATGCTCCTTCCTCTGCCAGAATAAAGGTGATCTATGGTGTTCACCGAAAACAAGTTCAGCCTTCGGCAGGACAGGGCTCATTTTGAAGGCTGACAACAGATGTCACTCAGCTTCTGAGGCCCAAACTCACAGCTTGCTAACAAACACACTGAGGTGAACATCTGCCCGGAGACTTCAAAGCAAGAGTCTGGTGTCCCTGCAGCTGAGCATGTCAACCTCCTCTAGAGAGAAAGTATTCCCTCGGAGCCTAAAGGAGATCAAGTGAAGAGAGGTTGGAGTGAGGACGAAATTAGAGCAGGGCTTTCAAACAGAAGCCTCCACTTTCTAAACCCACGCCTGGGATGGGCTGACCCTTTGGCCCAGCTGCAGTGTCTCTTGCAGGGAAGCCGGGGCTGTTTTTACCTTCGGTCAACCAGGGCAGTTCATGAATCATTCTGAACAAGGCTCCATGACTCTGCAGAGAGAGTCCACCACACTGCCCCCAGCCAGCCACAGACTCCCCAAGGCCGGTGATTCTTTTTAAGGCAACAAGAGAATCTGTCAAGAATGCAATGAGCAAACCCTGGTGCCCTCCCAAGTTCCATCAGCAGGCAGGAAATAACATCAGAACCCTTAAAATATCAACCTGATGTTGGCTGGTGCCCAGGACACAGAATGCGACGTTTCTTAGGACTGTGCAATGGTTTCAAAAACAAAGAAACAGAAAACCTACACTCTGCCCAGAACCTGATGACCTCATAGGCTACAGATATGTCACAATCATACAGAAGGAAAAATCTCTCCATCACAGCACAGATATTTGAAGTCATTTTCAAAATGTTTATTTTTTTAAGAGCTGGGATCTAATTCTGTCACCCGTGCAGTGCTGCAATCATGGCTCACTGCAGCCTTGAACTCCTGGCTTCAAGGGATCCTTCCATCCAAGCCTCCTGAGTAGTTAGGAACTATACCGCACCCAGCTGAGTTTTTTATTTTTTAAGAAACGAGGTCTGGTATTGAACATCTGGCCTCAAGTGATCCTCCTGCCTCAGCCTCCCAAAGTGCTGGGATTACAGGCATGAGCTGCCATGCCCGGCAAGGCTTTTGTTTTTAGCTTCATTTGATAATCTGCATTTGCTGCAGCCTCAATATGCTTTTTGAGAGGGAACAAGGCCTGCATATTTAAAGCAGGGGTCACAAGCTTACAGAAATGAATTGCCGAAGGGTTCTGGTCTAAGGCAATAGGCTTGATGGATCTGCAATCAGCCAAAGTGGGTTTGCCCATCTGAGAAGACTCAGCCCTTTTTGTACTCTGGTTAACCACTGGCACCATGAATGGGCATCCAAAGTTCCAACCTCTTTTGAGAAAACCCTCAGATATAGATTTTTAGTAGGAAAATTCCTGGCTTTTAAATATTAATCTCTATCCCAGTGTCTGGAACACACATAGTAACATTCACTTATAGCACACTAGGCCAGGGAAAACCTTTACTTATGGTCTGAGAAATAGATCCCTGGAAACAAGAAGGACAAATCTTTAAAGCTGTGACTCAGCAGAGAGAGTCCACAACACTGGACCCAGCTGCCCAGACTCCCCAAGGCTGGTCATTCTTTTTAAGGCAACAACAGAATCTATCAAGAATGTGATTCTTGCCTTTTTCAAATACATGAAGGACTACGGCTTTAAATATAGAGAATTGGATACACTGTGCAACCTGTTCCTCACCTTTGCAAGCTCCATTCAGAACCACAGAAAATCTGATACAATATCCTTGACCTGTGAAGGCAGATGCAGTTCCCAGGAGGGCAGGAGCTGCCTTTTCATTCTTCAGCCACATCTCCATTCCTACACTATCTCATAGAACAGAGAAGTAGCTGAATACATAGTCAAGGTTTAAAAATGAAACAATTGCTCCCTACTTAAAGATGTAAAGACTTCTTTCTTAGACAGACAACCAGATCCTTCACATGCAGAATCATTCTCACTGAATGTCAGAATCAGAAGGGATCCTTGAAATTCTGCCATTCCTCTCTCCCGTCACCCCATTTTACAGATAGGAAAACTGAGGCTTGGAGAGCTACAATAGGCCTGCCCAGGGCCTTACCAGACTTCCAGGATGGTGTCATTCCTTTCAAGGGCCTGCAGGAGGGCTTCTGCCCCTAGGTAGGTGATGCAGTTGTTGGACAACCTGGAGAAGAAGATAGAATGGTGAGCTTCAAGGATTCTTGGTTTTCCTCTTGAAACTGTCCAGTTAAAGAGACTTTAGGAGTTAGCCAGCCTACTGAAGCCCGTCTGTCCGCTAGACATACCCCACTCATGTCTGAAATTCCCAATGAGCTCAACAACAAAGGCTCAGTAACTTCAGCGAAATGTACCCATCTCTCTTCCATTCACCAGATGAGTTTATCAACTTAAGTAGTCACTCCCTTAGGATACTGGTTAAGTATCTGCATTTTAGTGGTAGACTTCCTGGGTTTAAATCTCATCTACACCACTTCCATTTTGCTCTCAAGCAAATTAGTCCCAATTTCCTCATTGGTAAAATGGGCCTAAAAGAGAGCCCATGTCATTGAGCATAAGAACTGAAATTGTGATGGCCATAAGCAGGCTCCTGTTCACATCTGTCATCCATCTCCTTTTGGTGCAAATCCCTGGCCACTAAGTCAGCCACCAGTGCCCCCATCATCTCCCCACACTCTGCTTGCTGGGAAGACCCTCCACTCTCTGCATACCTAAAACACTTACACAGTACTTGGCATGGTTTGGCTGTGTCCCCACCCAAATCTCATGTTGAATTCCCATGTGTTGTGGGAGGGACCAGGTGGAAGGTGATTGAATCCCATGCTGTCCTAATTATAGTAAATAAGTTCCATGAAATCTGATGGTTTTAAAAAGGGGAGTTTCCCTGCACAAGCTGTTTTCTCTTGTCTGCCACCATGTGAGATGTGCCTTTCAAATTCTGCCATGCTTGTGAGGCCTCCCTAGCCACGTGGAACTGTTAAGTCCAATAAACCTCTTTCTTTCATAAAGTGTCCAGTCTTGGGTATGTCTTTATCATCAGCATGAAAACAGACTAATACTGTACTTAATTGATAGAAAATAACCAATGAGCAGTAGTATTTCCATTTTCAGGAGAGTCTTTGAGGGCACAGAGACAGAGATCAGAGAACATATGAGGTAGCTGGCAACAGGGAGGGGAGATAGGATAGGGCCAGACACAGCAACAAAGTAGTCACATGTTTCCCATGTTGCTCTTCTGCTTATAGCTTTGCCTACCAATAATGTCCACTCCAGGTTTTCCCCCTTTCCCACAATCTTAGTAATGTCTTACAAGCTGACCACAAGGCAACACTAACCATAATAGCCAGTATTTGTTGAGCTTCTATCAGGTTGGTGCAAACATAACTGCAGTTTTTGCATTGTTGAAATTTGCTGTTTGATATTGGAATACATTCTTAAATAAATGTGGTTATGTTATACATCATTTTAATGCACACTTCTTGTTTTATTTTTTTCTAATGACTTACTACTTGCTGCTTATTTTATATTTATTTTAGACTATGGAACTGATGTTAGACAAAAAGCAAATTCAAGCAATTTTCTTCCTCGAGTTCAAAGTGGGTCATAAAGCATCAGAGAGAACTCGCAACATCAACAACCCATTTGGCCCAAGAACTGCTAATGAACGTACAGCACAGTGGTGGTTCAAGAAGTTTTGCAAAGGAGAGGAGAGCCTTCAAGATGAGGAGCATACTGGCCAGCCATCAGAAGTAGACAATTGAGAGCAATCATCAAAGCCAATCTTCTTATAACTCAACATTGATCTTACTTGAGATCTTACAACTAAACGTAATCTTCTTACTTGAGAACTCAACGTCCACCATTTCATGGTCATTCAGCATTTGAAGCAAATTGGAAAGGTGAAGAAGATTGATAAGTAGGTGCCTCAAGAGCTGAGTGAAAATCAATAAAATCGTCATTTTGAAGCCTCGTCTTCTCTTATTCCATGCAACAACAAACCATTTCTTGTTGGATTGTGACGTGTGATGAAAAGTGGATTTCATACACCTGGCATTGATCAGCTCAGTGGTTGGACCAAGAAGAAGCTCCAAAGCACTTTCAAAAGCCAAACTTATGCCAACATAAAGGTCCTGGGCACTGTTTGGTGGTCTGCTGCTGGTTTGATCCACTACAGCTTTCTGAATCCCAGTGAAGCCAAGAAATCTGAGAAGTATGCTCAGCAAGTCAATGAGATACACCAAAAACTGCAAGACATGCAGCCGGCATTGGTCAACAGAAAGGACCCAGTTCTTCTCCACAACACTTGACCACACATCGCACAATTGGACTATGAAGTTTTGCCTCATCCACCATATTCACCTGACCTTTCACCAACTGACTACCACTTCTTCAAGCATCTCGACAACTTTTTGCAGGGAAAATGCTCCCACAATCAGCAGGAAGCAGAAAATACTTTCCAAGAGTTCGTCGAATCCCGAAGCATGAATTTTTATGCTACAGGAATAAACAAACTTATTTCTTATTTGCAAAAAATGTGTTAGTTGTAATGGTTCCTATTTTCATTAATAAAGAAGCACTTTAGTTATAATGATTTAAACTCTTCATAATGATTTAAAATTCATGGTTGCAAACCACAATTACTTTTGCTCCAACCTACAACTTACTTTTGTTACCTACATTCCCTCAGTGAATGCTCACGGCCTATAATGAAGGTCCAGCCATTATCTCCATTTACACTTGAGGCAACTGAGGCACTCATCCAAGGAGAACCAGCTGGTAATGGTGGAGCTAGGGCAAGACCCAGGCTGCCTAGTTCCAGAGCTTGGACTCTTAACCAACTGTCGGCAGAAACTAAGCCTGAAAAAGAAAGATGCAGGTATCTCTCTTTTCAAAAAAAGATATAAGTTCAATTTTTGTGGGGGATGATATAGTTCAGGATGCAGAATAATAAAGCTGATGACAGAGTGCCATGGGACAACCCCAGCCTCATTGCCTGGCATCCACCGGAGTCAAGTGGGGTAAGGCTGTGACAAGGGGGGAAGATAAACTGCCATATCCATACTGGGTTGATAATGGGCCTGGTGTTCCCAAAGGCCCACCCTCAGTGCAAAGCTGGCATCTGGCCCAGACACATATGGGCTTCACCCCAACTTCCCAGCCCACTTCCACCCAAATGATTAGTGGACGTGTTTTCTCCAAATATTTGGAAACTTCCTAGCTTGTGAAAGAAAGCAACACAAACAAGCATCACCAGAGTGGATGGCAGCCTGGCAGCAAAGCTGGCACTCACAGAGGCAGCTGTCTGTCTATCTCTAAAGGAAGTGTTTTCCTAGGGCCACATTTGCCAAGGCAGATGCCACTTTCCTCCAGCAAAAGGAGCCATCTGATGGGGTTCCTGAGGTCTCCTTGAAATAAGAATTTTGGCATCAGCCTCAGAGAGCACCCCGACAAGCCCGTGATGGTCACTAGGTGGGTTCATGTTCAACTCCGCTGTCCATTTCTTTGTGGCACGGGTCTCAAGCCACTGAGTCAGGCACTGGAGGAGGCTACAGTGGTCCCCACCATATCACCTTCCCAGCCACTGCTTGTGGAGAAGACCTGCCACTCTCTGTCTGAGGCCATTCTCCTGACCCCAAAAACATGTTCAGCTGGGTGAGGTTGAGCTGGAAGTGCTGGAGAATCGGTGCCCCATGAGCACACATCAATACAGGAAGGATAGGTGGTTGGTAGATAAATACCAGGACTTCCTTACCCATTGGTTGGGTAGGTGACCAGGTGTGTTCTGCACTGGCTCCAGGAGTGCCCCAGAGTACTGAGCTCCAATTTCACTCAGTGATAACTGGCTTGATAACTACCCTTTCCTGGTATCTTCGCTTCCCCATCTCACTTCACCACTCACCTATCAGCATTGGCTGGGACCATCTCCCAGATAAACAACTTGCACTGGAATCCTTGTCCACCAAGACCAAGGCAGGCCCCCTCGTGTGAATTACCCCAGCTGGGAGCTGCCCAGATCTGATTCAGAAATGCCCCTTCCAAAGGCCAGCAATTATTGTCCTGGCTTCTGCTTATAGGTTCCTTACTTCAGGATTTTCAAACTTGAATTTCTCTTCAGTCCTTCTGCGAGAGAACACACACCTGCATCCTGGAGATGGTTCTCCTCCAGGCTGTGAGAACAAGAAAGAAAATCCAGCTGATACGATAATGTTGATTATGGAAGATGATGTCAATAAAGATTAACTCACATGCCCCCCATACAGGAAATCCAACATCTGAAAACCCAAACTTATGAATAAACAAAGAACAGATAAAGTACTGTGTGGGGATTCTCAATTCCAGGGACATATTTGCAAGAGAATTCACGCCAAGGGCTCCACTATGTAATAAGTTCCCTCATCCCCCAGCTCCACAATATCCATCTTTTCTTTCTTCCTTATTAATGGAGTCTCATTTCATTTGAACAGCCATACCCTTGGTGAAAATACTACATTTCCCACTCTCCATTGCAGCCAGGGTTGGTCAAACAAACATGTGGGTTGGTCAAGTGACATACACGTAGTTGATACATAAGGGGAAGTTGACAGGTGGGGCTTCCAGGAAGGCTTTTTAAAAGAGAGAAACCCAGATGGCTTTCCCAGGTATACAGACTGAATCCTGGAATACAGAAGTAGTGCTGCAGCTGGAGCAGCCATCCTGTGATCATGAGGCAACCAACCATGAGAATAAAGTCACAGGCTAAGGATGATGGAGCAGAAAGAGAATGAGACAGAGCTGAGACCTCTTCTGGCCTCTTGCAGCTACTGTACAAGCCCTACACTGCCTACCTCCAGCTGCCTATACAGGAAAAAATAAACCCTTTCCATGTTTAAACCTCTGTAGACAGAGGTATTCTGTCACCTGCAGCTTCACATAGAGCTAAACTAAATTTGGCCTGAGACCAACTCCACACTTTGAGTTTCTATGTGGCAAACTGCCACCTAACAATATATTCTTATAACAAACAGCTAAGTGTCAGCCAATCACAGCAGCTAGGCTTCAGTCAGTCACAGCCCACCAGCTGATCAGACTGTGTCCATATAAGGCAAATACCTTATCACACCATGTCCAAATATGGCAAATGCCCAGCTGCAACCAATCAAGCTGTTTCTGTACATCACTTCCTTTTCCTGTCCATAGATACTGCTTGCCCCCACCTAGCTGAGTGGAGATCTCCCAGTTCTGAATGCTGCCCAATTCATAAACTGCTATATGCTCAAACCAGCTCTGCTAAATTTAATTTGCCTAAAGTTTTTCTTTTAACAGTAATCATAACTGATGCTCACAATAAGGTTTTCCTCTACTAAGAAATTCCAAGTAGCAAAATCCAATCAGGATAGAATCAATCACACTTTAGTAGAGCTACTAAGCCCTGCCGCAGCCGAGGTCCATCTACAAAATCTGCTTATGGCAATGCCCATATGCTGCAGTGCCTTTCTGCTTCCAGGGAAAATCAAACATGCAGCATTTTATCTCCCTGATATAATCTGAAACTGCCCAGAACATGTCAGAAGACTATACTCGTGGTATCTAAAGGATGGGAAATGTAGAATCTGCTTCAGGTCAATAGCATAAGTACAATTCATGGTTCCTCTTTCAACTATCAAAACTCCATTCCACCTTCCACAGTGACCCCTGACTCTAATACCCAGTGCTCTTGGGAACTCAAATTCACTTTAAAATAATAAAACTTTATTATTAGTGGTAGTCACAGTACGAGTAGTTGTAGCAGCAGCAGCGGCTGTAATAGTGGTAGTAACCCTGCCACTATTCTAACTTAACATTTAAGGAGCATGTAAAAATATGCCAGGCACTATGTTAAGGTCTTCACAGGCACTACCTTATCTAATTCTTGCAAAAATCTTTTATAGTTGGAAGTATTCTTACCCTCATTTTACAGATATGAAACTTGAGATTCTGAAATTGTTATTTAACTTGCCTAAGATCACAGCCTGCTTGATTCCAGAGTCTGTGCTCTTAACATTTATGCCATGTGGAGGCAGTCATCAAATCAGAAAACCAATATTTATTAAATTAAAAAATTAGCATGTACATACCAGGCTCTATAAGCTTCATATCACACAGTACATATAAAGACAAACACGATCAAACAGTGAATCAATCAGTCATCCACCTTTGTCTCCCCACACAACTGTTCCTGTGGATAAGGCCAGGGGATCAACAAAGATTGTGATCCATCTCCCCAGAACAGAGAATTCCCCAAACTCACCAGAGTTCTTCTAGCATGACGTTCTTTGCCAGCATCAGTGCTAAGGCTTGAGCACCCACACTGCCAATGTTGTTCCCCACCAGGCTGGAGATAATCATGGAAAAAAAACATGTCAGAACAGGGAAGAACCTCAGAGATAAGCTAACCTATGGAGGGCAAAATTCATGGCACCCTCCTGGTCTGCTCCATTTTAGACATCACTAATTGATTGCTGTGCTCTTTTCTGTTTTTATCCTTTTAAGACATCACTAATTGATTGCACTGCTTTTTTTTTTTTTTTTTTTTTTTTTTTTTACATTTTTTAGACATCCCTAATTGATTACAGTGCTCTTTAAGCCCAGGTGCAGCTTTAAAATTCTTCTCATTGTGGTGCACTGTGCAGCTACTACCAATGATTGGAATTGGTCCTTAAGATAAAATGTACCTGATCCACCCCAAGATCTTCAAGTTACAGATACTGAATCAAAACCCTGAGAAGACAGGGACATTTCCAAAGTCACCCAGAAAGACTCCAGTGTTCTGTCTGGAAATCCAATGGTCTCTTTTGCTTACTCCATTGCCTAACATTGTGGGGTAGAAATAAAGTTCAAAGACCATCAAAATTGGCCCCAGCTCCTCCCTCTTCATCTGGTCTCCCCATGAAAATTACAGAATAGACTCTGAAGCTTACCTGAGCCACCTCAAGCTCTGGTGATCACTCAAGGCTTCAGCCAGGGCCTGGGCCCCCTGATCACCCACTCTGTTGCCCCAGAACCTGAAAAGGCCAAAAGAATCAACACACAGTGTCAGTGAGTGCCTGATATGTGTTTTGGACATGAACTAACAGTCCTCCTCTCTCTGCAGTCCCAGCCAGAGGGGCAGGACCACTCAATCCCAGAGTGGCCTCACTGGGGCTGCTGGTCTCAGCAAAGTGGACCTGCCTCCATCTTTTGGGCAGGATGGCCAAACTTCACCAAGAGTTTTCATTGGTTTTACATTACAGACTTAGAGAACAGTAGATGCCTACCCAGCCCAAACCTTAAGGACAGGAACTAACTGACAAGAGTAATTTACACTTATGACACTTTTTCTGACACTTAGTTCAGATCTACTTCCCAGTAACTGCCACCCACAAGTCCTTAGCTACCCTCAGTACCTGCCCAGAACAAGTCTAATGTTTCTTCTGCAAGCCAGCTCTCTCTCCTGCTTCTTCCTAACACCGCCAATTCCTTCATGTCAAACTCCCTCAGCTTCTGGGCCATCCTCCTCTGACTCACTGTAGTTCAAAAACATCCCTTTCCAAAAGGTAAAGCCCAACTCATACCTTCTGACTCAGCGATTAGGGACCTACCCTGGACAGGTATGTGCACAAGTTAGCAAGGGGCAGCTGAACTAGGAAGTCCACTGCACTTTCTTTTCTTTTCTTTTTTTTCTTTTTTTGGATGGAGTCTCACTTTGTTGCCCAGGCTGCAGTGTAGTGGCATGATCTCGGCTCACTGCAACCTCCGCCTCCCAGGTTCAAGCGATTCTCCTGCCTCAGCCTCCCAAGTAGCCTGCCACCACCCCTGGCTAATTCTTTTATTTTTAGTAGAGTTGGGGTTTCACTCCATTGGCCAGGCTGGTGGTCTCAAACTCCTGACCTTGTGATCTGCCCACCTCAGCCTCCCAAGGGTTTGGGATTACAGGCATGAGTCACCACGCCCGACTGGCACTTTCATCCACCAGGTGCTTCTTTACTGAGCTCTGGCTATGTGCCAGCACTGCTCTGTGTCCCAGGGATATGGCACTGTAATAGCAAAAAACCTGAGAACAATAGTCTTCAAAAGCTAACCAGTTAAATAGATTATGTAACTGTGCACTCTTTAAAAAATGTGGTCAGGCTGAGAGGCGGCTCACATGTATAATCCTAGCACTTTAGGTGCTCAAGGAGAGAGGAGAGAGGATCACTTGAGTCCAGGAGTTTGAGACCAGCCTGGGCAACACAGTGAGACCCCGTCTCTACAAAACACAAAAATATTGGCCAGGCATGGTGGTGTGTGCCTGTAGTCCCAGCTACTCAGGAGGCTAAGACAGGAGGACCGCTTGAGCTCAGGAGTGCAGGACTACAATGAGCTGTGATTGCAACCACTGTACTCCAGCTGGGGTGACAGAGTGAGACCCTGTCTGTAAATATTAATAAAATAAATAAATAAGTAAGTAAGGAGTCATAACGACCTAAAAAATTTCCTATAATATACTGTGAAGCAAAAAATAAAATAAAATAAAATTTAAAAAGGCAAGCAAGTTACAGAACACTTTGTATCAAAAGACAGTGTTTGAAGGTTTTAGCACAGTGCCTGGACCAGACAGGTAGCCTAATAAATATGTGTTGAAAGAGGTAGATATCCCCAATGTGGCAGATGTGACTTCAAGTAAAAGAGAGCTCAGTGGGGCTGTGGCCTCCTTTATTCCAGACTCTGTTGCTACTAATGCAGTGTGAAAAAGACGCTGATGTCTAGAGCCACAAAGTTCCATTCGTGGCTCAAACTGAGCTTGGGGGCCGGGCACCGTGGCTCCTGCCTGTAAACCCAGCACTTTGGGAGGCCAAGGCTGGCGGATCACCTGAGGTCAGAATTTCAAGACCAACCTGGCCAACATGGCGAAAACCTGTCTCTACTAAAAAATACAAAAATCAGTTGGGCATGGTGGTGGGTGCCTGTAATCCCAGCTACTTGGGAAGCTGAGGCAGGAGAATTGCTTGAACCATGGAGGTAGAGGTTGCAGTGAGCCAAGATCGCGCCATTGCACTCCAGCCTGGGTGACAGAGTGAGACTCTGTCTCAAAACAAAAACAAAAACAAAAAAACACAACTTGGCAGCAACTTGCCTCCCTGTGAAATGGGCTGGAACACCTAAGCCCTAAGGTTATTCTCTCTTCCTACAGGCCCAGGTTCTCAAGCCCTCAGTTCTCGTCAAATGGACCCCAGTTTACTGTAGGGCAGGACAGGATAGGAGAGCGGCTGCTGGGAACAGCATGGGTGCAAGCCTGGGTGCCTAGCAAAGAGAGGAAGCCTGCCCTGGGGCTGCCGTCTGGGGTACTCCCCTCCCTGGCAGGCCCTAGCATGGTCCTACAGGGAGCAAGAGCTCTGAGCGACCTAGCACAGCCCCTCCCATCCTGGGTGCCTTCCTATTCTTCCCCATTTCCTTCTCTTTCTTAGGTCAGGGGTCCTCACTCATGGCTGCACATCCCCTGGGAAGCTCTTCAAAACTCCTGATACCTGGGCCCTTCACCTAGATATTTGCATTTCATCAGTCTGGGGTGGGGGGAGAGGGCACCTGGCAATAGTGTTTAGAAGCTCCCAAGTGGTTTTAATATGCAGCCAATGTACAGCCCTAGCACACCCTGAGGACCAGAGGGCTTCCTGTCACCAGCTCATGGGCAATGCCCTCCCCCAACCCCAACATCCCAAACATCCTGTTTGTCACGCATACAGCAAATGTCAAGGCAGCAGTCAAGAGCCGCCCACTCTCTCCCTGGCTCATCCTCCCCACTGGAGCTGTACTGCCCCCAGGCCTCCTGGCTGAAGAGTTTCACCTGCCCCTAAATCCTCAAAAGTCCCAAGCCCCTCCATGCAGGTCCCTCTTCCTGGAATCCAACCTACCCCAGGAACTGCAAGGAGGTGTTGCCTCGGAGCCCCTCGGCCAGCACTCGGGCTCCCGCAGCGGTGATGTGGTTATTCCCCAGCCTGGAAGGGAAGACAGAGGAGGCTGGGGGAACACAGCGGCAACCAGATGAGGAGGGCTGGCCGTCTGCGTCCTGGCAGAAAGAAAGCTTTGAGGACCTGCGCAAGAGGCAGCAGCCATAGCAGGTGCCCTCGCTGCTCAGTCCAGTTTACTCAGCGGCTCCCATGACTGCGTTTTCCCCCCGCAAAGGGAAAGTGATGGCAGCACACCATTTTGCACAGCAGCATGACAGCTCCGGGCAGGAGCCACAGTAGGGAGTTGTCCTGGGAGGTGGTTTCCCCAGGACAGCAAGGGTGACTCAGCTTTCACACCTTTCCCTGCGGTCTCAGCCACTCTTGATCCAGACCCCACTGTGCCCTCTGCAGCCTTCCCAGATCTGCTGTTGCTTCACGTAGGTTTTACCTGTTGCACAAGAGCCTTGGGCAGGTCCACGTGGCTGGGGGAGAGGAGGGGAGCCCGCTGAGCCTTCCAGGAGGGAAGGGGGGAGGGAAGGCCAAGGCTAGGGGTCAGGGAAGATTGCAGCAAGGAAGCCTCCTGCTACAAGCAAATCCAGACACCTCGAAATGCTTCAGAGAAGCCCCAGAGCTCACCTGAACCCCAGGCTTCCTGGGGTAACAATAGGCTTTCATCCTTTCAAGGAACTTCAAGCCACTCAGCTCACAACAATCCTATACGGCTGATATTATTGCACCCTTGGAGAAGGGTGTGGCAGGTAGGAGAACTCGCCTTTCAGGTCTCCAGCCTCAGCTCCCTGGAGGTAGCCAAGGGCCTCAGCTGCTGTGCTCCAATATCTAATGTCCTGGTGTGGCACCAAGGCTGCTTGCCAGCCCCTGCCTGAGACACCAGGCTCCCCCGCCAGATGTACTTGGCTCAAGAACTCTTCATCAACCTTGCCCAAATGTCTTAGGACTGCCCTGAAGTCCAAGGTTCCCCGTCTTAACCTTCCTTCGTTCCCTCTCTCCTTCACTCAGGGACACACCCCCCAGGCTCCCCCAGCTCCCTTCTCCACTTCCCCTCATAGGAATTTTCCCCGATAAATGTGTGGCACATCAGATCCCTGCTTGGAGGACTGGACTCACATAAGGAGAAACAAGCTGAGTGCTTGTGTGATTTACCCAGCATCTTGCAGCCACTCGTTTACTATATAAAGCCCCTGCCAGACGGTGCAGTCCTTCATGTGGATTAATTCTCTTGCTCATCACTACAGCCAGTGAGGTAGCCATGGTTATTACCCCCATTCTACAGAAGAGGAAAGGGAGGCACACAGACATTGGGCTGACCTGAGGTCATGCAGCTAATGAGGGTTGAAACCTCAGGCAGTCTGACTCCAGAGCTCCTGCTCTGAATTACAATGATATACGGTAGTCCCCCGCCCCCTGCTTATCCGCAGCTTCATCTTCTATGGTTTCAGTTATCTGAAATCAACTGCATTCCAAAAATATTATATGGAAAATTCTAGGGATAAACAATTCATACATTTTAAATTGCATGCTATTCTGATGACGCACCATCCAGCTCCATCCCGCTCAGGACGTGAATCAGCCCCCTGTCCAGCGTATCCACACTCTGTATGCTCCCACTAAGTAGTCAACATTATCTGCTCCTGATGGCCAACGACTGACCTCACAGGGCTCAAAGATTCAGGATCTCCGGGAGCAGATGATTCTCCTCCTGACGTGTGGTCAGGTCAACAGCAGCCCAGCGCAAGTTCGCAGTGCCACGCCACCCACCTCATTTCCTTCCGTCACACAGGCACTTTACCTCCCACATCTTCCCAAGAAGAAGAAGGGTGAGTAGAGTACAAGAAGGTATTTTGAGAGAGACGGAGAGAGACCACATTCACATAGTTTTTATTATAGTATATTGCTATAACTGTTCTATTATGAGTTGCTGTTACTTTCTTACTGTGTCTAATTTGTAAATGACACTTTATCGCAGGTGTGTAGGTATAGGAAAAAGCATGGTATGTGTAGGGCTTGGTCCTCTCCTTGGTTTCAGGCATCCACTGGGGCCTTAGAATGTCTCTCCTGCACATAACAGAGGACTACTGTGTTGGCCACAAATAGCCTCCATTTGTGAAACTAGCACCCTTCTCGGGGATGGGTCAGCCACATCTGGCCACAGCCTATTCCAGGCTTGTGAGTCTGACAGAGTCCTTTGTACAAATATACAGATTGGCACCTGTGGTCCTGATCTCAGTAGCCCTCGCCGAGACTGAGCTATGTGGCCAGCCATTTTAAGATGGCAGCTTCCATCCACAAATCCAGCCCACGAGGTAAAAGAATAGAGGGAAGCAATTTTTAACTTGTCTTCTTTTACTACCTCGCAAATCACAGGAGGCAAGAATATCCAGGAAAGAGAGAGAGAGAGAGAGCCAGGCCAACCCAGGGGCCAGCTAGAGGGGCAATTTAACAGTACCAGGTAGGAGAGAGAGACTCCAGTTGAAACTGGGAGACACTGGAGCAGCAGAAATGCAGACCCAGATGACACTGCAAACCTTGCATGCTCTGAATGGGGAAAGGACCTTCTGGGAGTGCTGCCACAGCTGGGGTGGCAAGTAACTGTGTATGCCTTCCCCAGTGAGACAAGCTGAACATGCATTATGGAACTCAGTCACCCCAGAGAGCTGTGACACTCTTAGACACAGAAAAGGAAAGGGGACTAGAAAACCATTTTTGCCCTATGGGTTAAAGGTCAAAAGACAGGAAGCCCTCAGCAGGGCTAGTCCAGAGTTTACAGGGGAGATGATGGCATTAGAGAGAACCCCTGCTCAAAATGACACACTGCCCCTACATTCAATCAGGAGGTCAGCAGCCAGTGTGGGCAGCGCCAGCCGAAGACCAGACCAGACTGACTCAGCTGTGGGGCAAAAAAGAGTTTCCAGGGAATAAGGAAAACTTGGGCTCACCTCAATGCCAAGAAGTTCTGCTTGCATGCAAGGAGCTTAGCCATGGAGTGTGCACAGCCATCAGTCAATTTGTTGTTGAACAGACTGTTCAGGGACACAGAAGCAAAGCACATTGGACAGGGAGCACCCAACCCCAGGGTTGCCCTTCCCCTCTGGGCAGGAATTACCTGCAACCCCATCATGCAAACAGCCCCTGCCCCAGCCCATCACTCACAGCTACCCAGGCTGCATGACCTGGGGTGAGACCAAGGGACTTGGGGCCCAATGTCCGCAGCCCAGGCTGACTTACGCTAACTTCTGCAATGGCTCGCAGTGAAGAGCATGTTCAATGAGCTTGCAGATGCCTCGGTCTGAGATATTGTTATCGCGTAAACTAAAAGAGACAAGACAAATACATTTGAAAACGGAGCTGGAAAGACAAGAAAAAAAAATCTACAAATCTACAAAAAATCTACAAAAAAGACTTTCATTCATCCCTGAAGTGCCAGCATCTGTGCTTCCAGGAAACCCTGCAAAAATGGAGCACCCCAGAAAAGTGGAGACCCCAAGGTCCCTGGCAGGGTGGGTGACATGGTATGGTGCACTATGACAGAGACAGTCCAGGATGTAGGGCCCAGATCCACCACTAAAGAACCCTGGAATCCTAAGGAAATCACAGAGCTAATTGGAAGCAATGTTTCCATCTCTGCAAAAGGAACATGATAATCACAGCAGCCTCACAAAGGGGACGATGGTGGAAAGGAGCTGATATATAGGAAAGGTACAGCCTTAGCTAGACAGGCTACCCCTGGAAAAATTTACCATCATCTAAGCCAGCAGACGGTAGACCAGCTGGATGAGACCGGCCACAAATTTTGGAAACAGGCAGGCAGGCTGTGGCTAGTGCCCAGTCCTTAACCCCAGTGATACCACTCCCGCAGGCCAGTCCCTGCCCAGCAAGCCTGGCCTGCCACTCCTCTTGGGGCACCATTCCCAAAACTCACCTGATCACAAGTTCATCTGAAAGCTTCCCTAAAATACAGATTCTCTCAGAGCTGGTGATCCAGTATGTGTGGGGTGGGGCCCAGGGATCTGTATATTTTAACAACTGTGCACGTGATTCTTTACCTTCAGGCAAACCTGGGAGGCCCTGACTGAATGATTAACAGCTCAGGCTCTGGAGCGCCTCAGCTGGATATTGTGATCCTGATCAGCCACTTCCTAGTTATCTGTTGGTGTCTTCATCTGTGGTAATGGTATTATCAGCCTCACCAGGCTGTATATATAAAGCCTCGTGAGCACCTGGTACATGGTAAAAGTAACCTAGAATCGTGATCGCTAGCCCTGGTCCCTATCCTTAGCACTGCCCAATTTAATCCTCAAGACAAGCCAGTGAAGTGGGTACCATTATTTTGTGCATTTGTGAGAAAGAAACTGAGGCACAGACAAGTGAAGTGACTTTGCCAAGGATGCACAGCACATAAAGGCTTTGAGCCCAGGCAACTTGGCTCCAAACCCCACTCCTATCCCTGACATGGTGCAGCTTCCCCCTTAGGGCCTCTTATGGCCACTTCTCTAGAGCAGTGATTTTTTAGACTGCAGGTTGTGGGACATGCAAACCATTTTGAGGTCCTGAGCAGCATTTCTAAAATACAGATTGAACAGAACAGAGGAGAGCACAGTGCATCAGAGTTCACAGAGCAAAGTCATTTCATGAAGCTTTGGTTTCACGTTTACATGGTGGTGGGTGCGCTCTCTCTCTCTCTCTCTCTCTATCTCTCTCTCAGTCATTGTGGGTCACAGCCAAAAAACTTTGAAACCCATCACTCTGGAGTCAGAGAGAGCCAGAATCTAAAGAAACCTATACAGGGGCACTGTGTATATGGGGTTTCCTAGAGGCTGAGGATCTCGGTTGGCATGGAAACACTTCAAGTGGGAGAAAGACAGGTTGGCACTGTGGGAGAGCCCTCCCCCTTCCTCCCTTCCTCTCTCTCTCTCTCTCTCTCTCTCTCTCACACACACACACACGCACGCGCGCGCGCACACACACACACACACACACACACAGTGCACTCACAGCAACCTCATGGTTGCTTCCCCTCCCCTACGGCCTTGGCAGTTGTAGTGTGTGTAGGGTGAGGAGCAGAACTTGCTCAAGGACAGGAATTGCTAATAGAAAACCAAGCTGGTTGCTGCTGACCAGTAGTTCTCCCAGGGTGAGACCACTTGTATCAGAATCACCAGGGTTGTTTCTTAAAAATATAGATGCCCTGGGCCCCACCCCAAACCTACTGAATGGGAATCACCAGGGGCAGGCCCAGGAATCTGCACTTCCACAAGTGCCTTTACACACCACAGTCTGAGCACCATCAGGTACAACCAGGCCACCCTTACCGTTCTCTGAAAATAGAGACAGACCCACAGGTTTCCCGGAGCCCTTCTGCACATCCTGGGAATGGACATCCCTAACCAAGAACAGAAGATCCATTCCAGAAGTCCAGGGATGCACTGGCCTATGAGGATCACACAGGCCAGGAGTGCCTGGCGTCTTGGGGTAAAAACTATGAGTCTACTACCCAGGAAAATGCACATTCTTATTTCTATCAGGAAAATTGCTCCAACAGATAGGTTTCCAAATTCCCACTCAAGTATCATGATCCTCCCTCCTAGGGAAACAGAGTTTGGTGCTGGCTGTCTTCCATTTGCCTGGCCACATCCACTCTCTCGCTTCTCTACCCGTCTCTGGCTCATGGGAGGCTGATGTCTGAGGACTACTCCAGCAAGCAGCCCGCTTGGCCTCCCTAATGGGTCCAGCCAGTGGAAGACGCTGGCCAGAAGCAAGGATCGGGGAAGGGAGTTAGGAGCCAGTTGTATTCTTCCACATTGCAGAATCTCAGGCAGCCCTCTTCATCCCCCCAGCTCATTAGCCTCCCTCCCGTTGCCCCTTCAGGTCTACCCTCTCCCGGCTGTTACTAATCCCAGGCCCCTGCACCAACCCTCTTGCTCTCCCTAACGCCTGCCCATGGCTTGTAAACAATCTCTTTATTAAACTCTCCTCAAATCACCCATTTGAAGTGTGTCAACTGTTTCCTCCAAGACCATGATGGGTATAATCGTATTTATATTCATTGCATAGAATACATGTATATATTTGCTATATACGTTATGTATTATGTTGTTATTTTGCTATAACCTTATGACCAACATCCCTATGTCAGGGTTAACAAAAGTCACTGCACAGTTTCTAGTGGATATCCATGTGTTTGGTCCATGGAGGAAAATAAATCTCATTGCTTTGCCTCAGAGAAGATGTATACCATCCTAATACGCTCAAGAAGAGGTTCGTCCCTTGCTGAGGGTCAATTAAGGTCATGGCAGGGCGGTAGCCTAAAGCCCCAGGAAGCTGGGAATAGATCTTAATTTCTATCTAGAACTTCTGCTTTCTCATAGGTTCTACACAGAAGCAAGGCCTCCCCTTTCAAGGCTGGAAGTTTGTTGGGGAATCGTGGGAGTCCGATCCCCAGGCCTAAGATGTACAAAGAGACCCCTGAGTTCAGGAGCACAGATTCTCCAAAGGGCAAAACCTGACATCTTTGGCTGGGGCCCTAAGCAATACAGGTAGTGCTGAAATCCTGCTTGGACACTGTGCTACCTAAGGAGTCCAAGAGTGGTTGAAACCCTGCAGCCCCTATCCATCTCTTGGGTCCTGAAATTCCCATCTGGCTGGAATGTTAAAGTCTCTGATGGGGCACAAGTCACCTCTGATTTGGTGTCGTTCCTGATACCGACACATATTACACAAAACTTTCTGCATATGACCTCAAGGCTTTCAGGGAGCCCCTGAAGTGTATCCACAGACTGGTGGCGGGACAGGAAACCTATAATCAGAAAGATGTGATTTGTGAAACCCAGCTCTGCCATTTCCTGTGTAACCCTGGACAAGTTACTTCACTTCTCTGAGCTTCAAGTCAAGGATAATGGAGATAATAACATTCCTGCCTACAGCCCAAGGTGGTTGTAAAGGTTAGATGAGGTCATTCTGGAAAGCGTAGCACCAGACCCAGCACATATGCCAGTCAGTAAAATATGGCTGTCATTGTCACATATTGAAATTAAGACCCAGAAGGGAAGGGATCTGGGAAGGGTTGCAAAGAAGGGTGAAAGAGGTAAAGCTGGGCCCAGATTTCTGGATCCCAGCTCGGGGCTCCCATGATTAACCTTGATGGTGCTCCCCCTTGCCCGAACAGCAATGCCCAGCAACACTCACTACAGAGCCTTGCAGACACCAAGGCAAGGCAGCAGCTGCTCCACGCCAATGTCACCCACAGAGTTGTAGTCCAGCTGTAGGGCCACGGGCCGCCGGAGGTGCCGCAGCACAAAGGCCAGGGCAGCACACTCAGTGGGGCCCACGCTGCAAAATGTCAACTTGAGGTGCCCAATATTCAGGCCACGTACAGCCTTCCGTGCCAGCCGCTCGTCCTGCATCTCGTACAGACTCCTGATGAGCCAGAGGAACCTGGGCATGGCGTGCATGCTCTTGGCCTCACCCGGCGCGGCTGGCGGGATGGAGTGGAAGTGCTTGCGGAGGCTGCGGGCCAGACACCAGCGGGCACAGGCCTGGCGCTGGAGCAGGGCCTTCTCAGATGCCTGGCACTCGGCCAGCAGGCCCCAGTGTTCCCAGGACAACAGCCCTGCCAGGAAGGCTGCCGTGATCTGAAGGTTGTGCGGCTCAGTCTTCTGCAGCAAAGCTGCCACGCTGCCGTCCTTCCTCCGTGGGCCCTGGATGCACAGCATGGGCAGGAGCCTGGCCATCGGCGAGTTGCCTGGCCTGCCACAATTGAAGAGGTGTCTGAGCAAGGCTGGCGGCACGTCAGCACTGAGTACCAGGTATAATGCAGCAAAGAAGCACTGGAAAGTGATGTGCAGGAATTCCAGGGGCGCCATACTCTCTGGCATGACACCTTTGGCACGCACCAAGAAGCCGAGAGAAATGTCATCAGGGCTGACCTGTGCTGCCTGGAGCTGCTGGACTGAGAACACATAGCAGCACATGCCCAGGCCCCAGAGAGCAAGTCTGCCAAGGCGCAGGAGGGTGGGGAGGCGGCCCAGAAGGAGACTGGGTCCCAGACCCTGGCAGGCTGAGTCTGGGGGGACAGCATGCAGCAGAAAATGCTGTAGGATCAGCAGGTACATATCTGTAGTGGTCTTCGGGGACCCGCCCTCCTGCAGCAATAGTTCCTGGTGGCATTTGGACACCATCCATGAGAACACGGGAAGGTGGCACAAACCACGCAGGGCTGAGGTCGCTTGGAGCAGGCGGATGAGGCGGTTCGCCACTTCAGGCTCACGATGGCGCTTCTTCAAGTACAGCTCGATGCCCTCTTCAGAGAAGCCCTTGAGGATGAACTCGGTGCGGATGTACTTCCTGAGGAATGCTGACACGGCAGCAGGACGGCTGGTCACCACCTTGCGGGCATTCTTCAGCAGGTTGCCCTGCAGAAGGTTAAAGAGCAGGGTCTGGACAGAGGTGGGGTCTGTTGGGGAGCAGTGACGTTCGCGGTCCGTGAACCTGAACTTGAACTCGTCAAAGCCATCAAAGGTTAGCAGGACACGGTCAGGGTGGTCAAGGAGGAACTGGAAGATGTCCTGTTGATCAACGTCAGGCCAACAGCAGTGCTCAAAGAGTAGCATCCGCACAGAGAGTGGTTTGACCACGCACTGCAGCTGCCGGCAGCTGAATGGGAAGACAAAGAGAAATTCCTGGAAGTCTCGCCCTGCAGCCCACAGCAAGTGCAGCCATTGCAGGAGTGTGCTCTTGCCGCTGCCCGCCTCGCCCACCACCAGCACAGTGTCCGCATCATCATTGAGGTGGCCAGGGGTGCTGAAGAGCTCCTCCAGCCCCAGGGTGGCCGGGCTCTTCTGTGGGGGTCCAGCCATGCCCACATCCGCCCAGACCTCCAGGACATTCTCTGTGTATATGTCCTCCAGGCAGAGCGTCTCTGCCCCGTCATAGGTACTGAGGAAGCGAGACTGAGCGGACACCGTGGTCCTCAGCTTGGCCATGTACTTCTTGCATGTGGCAGCTGGAAGGCAGAAGAGGAGGCAGATGAAGGTGGCACCATGGTGAAGATAGGACCTAACCAGACAGGGGGCTGCTGCAGGGAAAGGTGACATAACTGAAGGGACAGGCGAGCCAGCAGGCGCCCATCCTGGCTCCTCCATTCACAAGCTGTGGACTTTGAGGACCGTCAAGGAAACTTCCTAACCCTCAGTTTCCACCTCTGTAAGGTGGGAGAAATGTTGGTCACTACCTTACAGAGTTTTTACGCAGATCAACTAAGATAACGGACGTCTAACGCTTAGCACAGTGCCCAACACAAAGTAAGTGCTCGAAAGACATCAGTGACTGCTGTTATCATTACTGACACCAGGAGGAGTTGTAGATGATGGGAAGAGGCTCTCGGCTGGGATCAGAAGACCTGTATTCTGATATCTGTCCTGCCACAGTGGCCAGTGGCTTTAGATAAATCCCTTCACCACTCAGCCTCAGTTGTCTTTCTCTAAAGAGAAACAATAGACTGAAGGGCCCAGGAGCCCAGTCTCTGAAGTCAGACACACCTGAGTTTGAAAACCTGGGTCCGCCATTCACTTGAGCAAGCCATTTAGCCTTTCCAGGCCTCAGTTCTCTCATCTGTAAAAATGAGGACAATATATACCTGGAAGGATTGTTTCAGGAGGCAGTGAGATAAAATAGAGTTTAGAAGAATATCTGATATGGCAAACTCCCAACACACAGTGTTTATTATCATGATTATTAATGGATATAGTAGGCACAACAATAGACCCCCAAAGATGTCCATGTCCTGAGCCTCGGAACCTGTGAATATGTTACCTTACATGGCAAAAGGAACTCTGCTGATGTGAAGAAGCTAAACTTCGAGATGGGGAGATGATCCTGAGTGATCTGGATCTTCCTAGCAACGGAGGGCCTCAGGGCCACCAGGGCACCCCAGCCGAGCACTCAAATGAAAGTCTGTGATCCTGCCTCCACTTCCCCATCCTCCCCATGCACCCCATGCCGGGAGACTTCATGCACTGGGTGTGTTTAAAAGGCTACTGCTCTTCCTTTTTCATCCTGACAGCAATGCAAGCAAACCATTTCCTGTGTCAGGGTTTAGTTCCCCTTTCAGGGGAAATGGGGAAGTGCTGGTTTAGTCCCAGGTTGGTGGAACGGTCCCCGGCCATCACAGCCTCACTGCTCCCAACCAAACACTCGCCCACTTATTTTCAACCCCAAAACTAACAAGCAATTTTCAGAGAGCTCTGAGTTCATTGATGGTTATCTGTGGTCACACAGAGGGGGCACATTGTGTTTATGTCACCACTGTTGTTCCCAGAGTTGATGTTTATTGCTGAGTTCTCTGCCCTCTGAATATACCAGGATCGCTGAACTTAGACCATAAGATAGATATCTTCCTCTCCAATACATATCAGATATATATCTTCCTCTTCTGACCTGATTTCCAATGCAGGCTTTCCAGCCATCACCAATGATACTAAAATTCTCCAGGAAAAAAAAAAATGTCATTTTATAGAGAAATAAACACATCAGTTGTCACCTTTAGAAATGTGGGGAATCTTGCACCCTAGCCTGGTCTTACAGTGACCAGTTGTGCTTGATGATATCAACAGCTAACCTCAACCAGGGGCTGAACCAGGCCCCGCACTCCATGCTGTACACCCCTGTGTGGTGGACTGATGTCTACATCCCATTCTTTGATGAGATGGTGCACAACTGAGTGCCAGGCACAGGCTTCCAGCCACCCCTTCCACAGGCTTGCTCACTGCCCAGAGGGCAGGGCCCAGGGTGATAGACCCATCTGCCAGAGCCACGCACAGATCAGGGGGCTTCGGTGCCAATGAGCTTTCTGTACAGCGGTGTAGGAATAAGCCCTAAAGAGTGCCAGGTTTGCACTCTCTCTTCACAGCTGACATTTCTTCTCCCAAGAAAAGAGAAAGTACAGGTGGGGACAGTTTACAATCAGACCCATCTCCCCCTCCCTTGTCACTTAACCTCTCTGCCCAGTTTCCACATCTATATGGTGGAAAAAAACACGACCTACTTCTCAGGGTTGTTGCAAAGGGTAGACATTGTCCATAAGGCACCTGGCAGGATGCCTGGCATGGTTAAATGGTGCTGTCCCAGCCCCACCTGTTGTGAGTTTGGGTGGTGACCCTGGGCACTGAGGGATACCACAGTCTCTAGATCCACTTGGTTCTTCAGTTTCCAATTGTGAGCTGCTAAATTTCAGAGATCAAGAGATACCAGCCCTAACTCCAAACATATGTCCATATTTTTTTGGTACAGATAATGAGAGTTTGGATAGTTAAGTAGCACCTTTAATTAGTCCTGAATATATGGTAGCTCTAATTACCATTACATTGTGTGGGAGATAATGAAAGCTAATAGCTAACATTATATACTTTTGTCCTTTTAATCCTCCTAAAAGCCCAATGAGATAGGGGGTGGTGCTATCCTTAACATGAGGAAACTGAGTCACAGGGAGGCTGCACTGCCAGCATATGGGACGCTAACCGAGGTGTGTTCTGCTGGATCACACTGGATCTGTACTGACTTGCCTTCCCTTTCTGATTAACTGAGTACATACACCTACCTTCCAAAGGTAGGGCCAACGGGACTGGTAATTCTTGAACATGCTGTAGAAGGAAGGCAGCCAATCCATTCGCCTTCACTGTGGCAAGATCGAGCAGCCTTCTTGCCTATGGGGAACACAGAAGACATTATTTTTCCAGAAAGGCTGATGTGGGAAGGTTTACTGATTACTACAACTTCATAGGCATCTTCTTCTATCCAGCATAAAAGATCAGAAAAATAATCGGACAACCACATGAGTTTAAAGTAGTTAATACAGTGTTAGATGGTGAACTGAACACATGCATCCAATCTGGCTCCTACTCAAAACTCACTAAAATAGTGAATAACTGAAAAATAGATGAAACAAAATAAAGACATAAACCTACAAAGACAGAGAAAATGATTCTGCAAGCTGTAAATCATCCAGAAGAGATGTGATTTCATCGAGTCTCATGGATTGAATATTTGAATACAACCTCTGCTCAGACTCCCACATCCTCATCCTCAGCCTGAACTCTTCCCCTGAAGCCTGGACTTATACATCCAACTGCCTATTTTCCATCTCCACTTCAAAGTTTCATAAACACCTCCAACATATTCAACACTAAACTCCTAACCTACCCACACACCTGCCAAACCTACAGCCTTCCTCCTCTTGGCTAATATTAATCCCATTCTTCCCACCCTGAAGTCTTGGAGTCACCCGTGATGCCTCTCCTCCGTAATCTGTCAAATCCTGTTGACTCCTTCTTCAAAGCATGTCCCAAAGAGCACTGTCCAACAGAAATAAAATGCAGGGCACAAATGCAAGCCACATGTGTAATTTCAAATCCTCTAAAAGACACATTTTTTAAAGTAAAAAGAAATAGATGAAATTAACTTTAATCATATATTCTATTTAACTCACAATAGCCAAAACATTACCATTTCAACATGCAATCCATGTAGAAAATAGCAAGACATGGCCGGGCATGGTGGCTTATGCCTGTAATCCCAGCACTTTGGGAGGCCGAGGCAGGTGGATCAGCTGAGGTCAGAAGTTTGAGAACAGCATGGACAACATAATGAAACTCCATCTCCACTAAATATACAAAAATTAGCCAGGCATGGTGACACAGCCTGTAATCCCAGCTACTTGGTGGCCAAGGCAGGCGAATCACTTGAACCTGGGAGGTGGAGATTGCAGTGAGCCAAGATCATGCCACTGCACTCCAGCCTGGGTGACAAAGCGAGACTCAGTCTCAAAAAAAAGAAAAAAAAAAAAAGAGAGAGGGGAGGAGAGGGGAGGAGATGAGAGGAGAGGAGAGAAAAGAGAAAAAAGAAAAGAAAGAAAGCAAGATAGATTTCATTCTTATTTTTTTTATATTAAGTCTTTGAAACCTGGTGTATGTTATGTGCTTATGGAAACTCCATGTGGACCCACCAGGTTTCTAGTGCTCAAATGCCATCTGTGGTCCGTGTCTACATACAGACACACAGCTAGAGAGCCCTGCCAATTCTTGTCACCTCCTGTATACCATCCTGCTCCAAGCCAAATCCCTGCTCACCTGGAAAGCTGCACAGGCTGCAAAACTGGTCCCCCTGCTTCTGTTCCTGTCCCCAGAGCCTAGTCCTAATGTCACAGCCAAAGCCTAACCCTTTACAAACAAAACTCAGGTCACATCGCTCCTGTACAAACATTCCAACAGCATCCCTATTCTCTCAGAGCCCAAGTCCAACAGCCAGCAAACTTCAGGGCCCAAAACAGACAAAAATACCTGTCTAGAACCACCTAGACTCAAGGTTCTCCTTTGACCCCCCCCCCCCACTCCACTCAGCATCCTGGCCTCCTGTTCCCTAAAACTACCAGGTATGCTCCTGCCTCTGGGCCTTGGCTCTGGCTGTCCTCTCTACATGGAAGCCCTCCCCCAGCTGTCCACATGGCTAATTCCATGTCCTCCTTTAAGTTTTTACTTGAATTTCACCTTCTAAGTAAGAGCTCTCTGACTACTCTATTTAAAATTGCCATCATTTATCCCCTTCCTCCTTCCCAAACTCTCAACTCCCGAACCCACTTTACTTACTTTCTGAAACACTTACCACCTTCTAGCACACTCTGTAATTTCCTTCCTTTGGCTTATTGTTCCTCTACCATGACTGGAGTGTGTGTATTTCCAGGGCAAAGATTTTTGTCTGTTTTGTTCACTGATGTATCCCCAACACATAGAAGAGTGTCTGGCACAAATCAGGTACTCAATTTGCTGAACGAATGAATGGTAATGGATTTAGGAGACTCCTGAAAGCCCAATCTTAACCCCAAAATGAGAAAGTTGAAAACCATGCAGTGTGTATCCTAGAATCTGTAAAGAATTCTGGAATGATCAGCATGAGGGACCTCTGGAACTGAAGGAAATGACTAAAACAAGGAGAACTGAGTCAAACTGAAACAGATTTCTCGTTTATCCCCAGGCAAGAGGTCTGTGGTCTACTCAGATAACTTGATCAACCCAGGAGGCAAGATCTAAAGATACAAACACTGTCATTTCCCAAAATGTCTACAGTGAAATTCACGGTAGACAAGTTTCACCCACATGCCCAACAAGTTTTAAAGTCCTACCTGCCAATCATGAGAAAGAAAACCACCAAGAGTATCATAAGCCCAGAGAAAGCAACTAACATGGGGGATATAAGCCAAACAAGGGGAAAAGGGGAAAGCAACTTGTAGAAAAAGTTTACAAAGGGTGAAAAACAGTCAAACAAACAAACAAAAAACCCACCGATCTTATGATCCTAAGTCAAAGATGTTACATCCATAAAACAACAGTAAGATACTACAAAAAAGAACAGTCAAACATACCTCTTGCTCAAATTTCACCTTCTAAGTAAGAGCTCTCTGACTACTCTAGAACCACCAAATTAATAGCATGACAACAAAAATGAAAAATTCAAGAATTTAAAGATAGAGTTGCAACTATCATACAAAAGTAAAGCAAAAAGACACAGAGATGGAAAATGGAAGAAAATTAAAGGATTAGTCCAGGAGTTCTAACATTAAAGTAATAGCAGTTCCATAAAGAGAGAAGAGATAAAATGGAGAGGAAGAAATCATCTATAAACTAATCAAGAACATTTCCAAAACATAAGGAGAGAAGTTTCCAGATTTAAACTACCTCTTGGGTGACTAGCACAATGGAAGAACACCAAGACACATCATTAAAATTTTAAAATGCTGAGGACTAAAAAAAAAATTTTACAAGATTCCAGAAAAAGTTTTAAAATGGTTTTGGAGGCCAGGAGTAGTGGCTCATGCCTGTAATTCCAGCACTTTGGGAGGCCGAGGAGGGCAGATCACCTGAGATCAGGAGTTCAAGACTAGTCTGGCCAACATGACAAACCCTGTCTCTACTAAAAATACAAAAATTAGCCAGGTATGGTGGCTGGTCCCTGTAATCCCAGCTACTTGGGAGGCTGAGGCAGGAGAATCGCTTAAACCCAGGAGGCGGAGGTTGCAGTAAGCTGAGATCATGCCACTGCACTCCAGCCTGGGTGACAGAGTGAGACTCTGTCTCAAAAAGAAAAAAAATGGTTTTGGAATTCTTAGAAGCAATATTGAAAAGAGATGATAATGGAACAATGCAATCAAAATTCTGAAGGAAAATGATGATCAGTGCAGAATTTTATACCCAGCAAAACTATCAATCCAGTATTGGGGAACTTTTAGACATGTAAGAGCTCAGAAATTTTTAACTTTCATACATTCATTCTAAGGAAGTGACTGGAGGATATGGTCTAGCAAAATAGAGTAAACCAGGAAAGTAGAGTCCAAAGAGGAGACTCAATGCAGAAAGACCATGTAGGGAAATCTCAGGTTGATGGCTGTGTACTATAAGTAGATAGTTGCCACCAGTTCAGACAGAATGGAGCAGTGACTCAAGACTCAGACATATTGAGGGCAGTTATCCTCTAGAAGTCCAGGCAAGCCTGACCCTAACCTTTATCTATATTTGACTTGTCTTCATCACGAACTAACATCATTTCTTCTCAACTCCTGCTGCCTGAGTCAGCTGAGGGCATTCATTTCACTCCATGGAAGTGTTTAGTCTCTGCCTATTCCTGTGAGCTAGAATAGCCTTTGGCAAGTTTACCATGGACTGTATGAAGCAGCATGCTTCCTCTGGCCATTTTCCTCTGGACAGCCAGCACCTAATTCACATTGGCCTTACCAGACCCTCCAGTTGCAATGAGCCCTGTATTTCCCCAGACTTGCTTATGTCATTGCCTACTGACTTCCCAGAAGGGGTCCTTATAAATTCCCAGGGAAGGCAAAGCCAGACCAAGTCCCTGAGACTCCACTCAGCTTCCCTGCCTTGGGAACCTTCATCTAAGAAAAGGCAATAATGACCTTTCTTTCTTTCTTTTTTCTCTGTTGCCCAGGCTGGAGTGCAGTGGTACAATCTCAGCTCACTGCAACCTCTGCCTCCTGGGTTCAAGCAATTCTCCTGCCTCAGCCTCCTGAGTAGCTGGGACTACAGGCACATGCCACGGTACCCAGCTAATTTTTTGTATTTTTAGTAGAGACAGGTTTCACTGTGTTAGCCAGGATGGTCTCAATCTCCTGACCTCGTGAACCACCTCCCTCGGCCTCCCAAAGTGTTGGGATTACAGGTGTGAGCCACCACCCAGCCTAATAGTTTCTTTACACAGCTATTTTTGGCTTGCTACTCAGTTTTTCAAAATAGAACAATACATTGTTTGGGGATTTATTTTAAAAGATGCTAAAATATTAAAGAAAGGCAAAGGAATGATTTACGCAAAAGTCAAGCCAGTGTTTACCTCTGGTAGCTGCAATTATAGAAGGCCCCAGGTACTAGAAACATCCTGTTTTTTAACTTGGGTGATGGGAACAGTTTACACCATACATATGAAATATACACACTCTTCTGTAGGCATGGTGAATTTCCCAATTTGAAAATGTTTAAGTTAATATTGTTATAGGAATCAGGCAATTCAGAGCTCAGTCTGACACCTCAGCCCTATCAACTTTAACAGTTGCATGAGTCAGACGGACAGCTGGTATTACAGCTGGTGTTACCAGCCTCAGGTTTCCTAACAACTGCTGTGCCCAACTGAGCAAGTTTACCACACAAAGCCCCCACATTTTATGACAGATAGAGAATAGAACAAGCTTTGGAGGAAAACAGGCCTGGATTCAAATTCTAGCTGGGCCACTTCCCAGGTGGGCGATTTGGGCAGTTTCTTCATTGTTAAGAAACAGTGTAATCACACTATACCCTTGTGGGGCTTAAATAAGACAATACAGGAAATAGACTGGATACAGGGTCTGGCAAACAGTAGGCACTCAGTCAATAGTAGCAATGGGTATTTTTGGAATTTGGTTCTTTAACTTGTATTTTGTTTCATTCCACAGCATTTTCTGTCCCTAACCTGCAATCAATGACAACTACTTCTTTTTTTTTTTTTTTTTTTTTTTTTTTGAGACGGAGTTTCGCTCTTGTTATCCAGGCTGGAGTGCAATGGCGCAATCTCGGCTCACCTCAACCTCCGCCTCCTGGGTTCAGGCAATTCTCCTGCCTCAGCCTCCCGAGTAGCTGGGACTACAGGCACACACCACCATGCCCAGCTGAATTTTTGTATTTTTAGTAGAGATGGGGTTTCACCATGCTGACCAGGGTGGTCTCGATCTCTTGACCTCGTGATCCACCTGCCTTGGCCTCCCAAAGTGCTGGGATTACAGGTGTGAGCCACCACGCCCGGCGACAACTACTTCTTAATAGGAAATTAAAAGGTCAGTTGGGAAGACATGTTGGTTGAACATACCACAAGCACCATCCAAATGAAATCAGAGAGGCCACTTAGGGAAGCCCACCAAATCAGAGTCACAGAATGTCAGAGCTCAAAGGAGGCTCAGAGAGAGCTGGATTCTAAAAGGTTAAACCTCGGGCAGCACAAGCCGCTTATAATCTCCTGCAATCCTCAGATCTGTTTTCCCTGCTCCCCACTCATCTCAGTCCCAGGCTTCAATGTTTGCTTTTGCTTTTGAGCCCTTTCTTAAAATGAATTCTTGGCCAGGCGCAGTAACTCACAAGCCTGTAATCCCAGCACTTTGGGAGGCCAGGTGGGCAAATCATGAGGTCAAGAGATCGAGACCATCCTGGTCAACACGGTGAGACCCCATCTCTACTAAAAATACAAAAAAAAATAGCCGGGCATGGTGGCACGCACCTGTGGTCCTAGCTACTCAGGAGGCTGAGGCAGAAGAATCACTTGAACCCAGGAGGCGGAGGTTGCAGTAAGCCGAGATTGCACCATTGCACTCCAGCCTGGTGACAGAGCAAGACTCCATCTCAAAAAAAAAAAGAATTCTTAGCTCATTAAAATATAGCCTTTGATGGATGCAGTGGCTCATGCCTGTAACCCCAGCACTTTGGGAAGCCGAGGGAGGAGGATTACTTGAGCCAAGGCGTTTGAGACCAGTCTGGACAACATAGCAAGATCCTGTCTCTACACTCCCCTCAAAAATTAGCCCAGTATGTTGGTGCTAACCTGTGTCCCACCTACTCGGGAAGCTAAGGCCAGAGGATTGCTTCAGCCCAGAAGTTCGAGACTGCAGTGATCCATGATGGTGCCACTGCACTCCAGCAGCCTGGGTGACACAGTGAGACCCCACCTCAAATAAATAAATAAATAAATAAATAAATGTCTTTCTTCTTTCCTAACCTAGGCATTTAAGGTTGTATATTTCCCCCATGTTCTGCTTTAGCTGTATCCAATAGATTTTGATAAATAATATTCTCATTGTTTAGTTCTGAATATTTTCTGATTTCTATCATGATTTCTTCTTTGACCCATGAGTTAGCCGATTTCTTTTCTTCACCAATCCATGTACTTGCTCTGTTCATGTCCTGTCTTCTCTGAGCCCTAGGGATCTAGGCTACCTTCTCCAAACCCCTCAGAGCATCTGTACCGGACTACATTGCTGAACTTTCAAAGGTTACAAGATCCAATCTTGTAATCACTCAGTCAATCAGAGCTCAGTTACAAGACACAATCTTATAACTTCTCAGATGGACTGATTCAATTCCCTTAACAAATTATAAGAGAAACTAAGGTCAGTGCAATAACCAATACGTCTTCTGTACCCACAGCTAATCAGAGAGGACTATACCGTGTTCCGTGCTCTGTAAATACCTTGCCACATAAGGCAGCTTTAGTGCAGCCTTGAAGACAAATTAGTTTATTTCCTCAATCACAACCTAGGGTTACGCAGACTTACGTGAACACCGCATACATTTTTGGAAAACAGACAAAAAGAAAAACTAAAATGTTCCCCAACCCAGTCCATTTTACCACTGCAGTGTAATTCTAATTCAATCATTCATTCAATAACTCATTTATTTCATCAACAAATATTTATGGAGTACCTACCATGTGCAAAGCACTATGAACACAACAAACTTTAAACAAATATGTATCAAGTACCTAATAGATTCTGGCTGAATAGATGAATGATGGATGAATAAGTCAATGACCAAGGCTGGACGATTGGTCTAGCATCGGCCATCTCATTAACTACTGCGAGCTTATTCAAACTACTTTCCTTGGCCTCAATTTCCCGATTTATAAAGTGGAACGTTAGTGACTGTTCCATCTGCCTCGCAGGAGCCCTAAGAATCACTGTTTGGAGGAAACAAAAGAGATTCAAAATTACTCAGTGGTCATTTCTGTGTCTTGGTGGTCTCTGCTGAGTCATTACATTGTTGGGGGCAGTTGGATCCCAACTCTGAACATCTATGATCTAATGCAATTTCATATCATAAACCCTACATAAACATTTAAGCTATATTAATGTATAATACGCTAATATTATATATTAGTGCATAATGTGTTATGTTAATTATAAAATAGAGATTCAATATACTGCGATGTTATAACCTGTTGTGCCGTTAATTTAAAACAGAAATAAAAGCATACAAGTACACAGTATCACTCATAACAGAAATAATCAATAGCAGACAGTGGTAATAGACACTGTCCTAAGCATTACTCATCGAATTAATTCATCGAATCCTCCCAACAGCCTTATAGGATAGGCACCATATGACTATTACCATTGCTTTATAGATAAGGAAACTGAAACAAGAGAGATTAAGGCTGGAGAGGCTCCATTGGGAAGCCTGAGACCACACAGGGTTGACCTTGAGCCTGCGCCATTCTGGCTCCAGAATCCGAGCCCTTGGCCACCACACACTTCCTCTCAGCAGAAGCAGTATGTTGGCCAGGAAAAGTGGCTCATGCCTGCAATCCCAACAGTTTGGGAGGCCAAGGCGGGAGGATTGCTTAAAGCCAGGAACTGGAGACCAGCCTGGGCAACAAAGCAACACCCCATCTCTTTTTTTTTTTTTTTTTTTTTTGGGAGGAAGGAGTTTCGCTCTTGTTACCCAGGCTGGAGTGCAATGGCGCGATCTCGGCTCACCGCAACCTCCGCCTCCCGGGTTCAGGCAATTCTCCTGCCTCAGCCTCCTGAGTAGCTGGGATTACAGGCATGCGCCACCATGCCCAGCTAATTTTTTGTATTTTTAGTAGAGACGGGGTTTCACCGTGTTGACCAGGATAGTCTTGATCTCTTGACCTCGTGATCCACCCGCCTCGGCCTCCCAAAGTGCTGGGATTACAGGCGTGAGCCACCGCGCCCGGCTGCAACACCCCATCTCTAAAAGAAAAACAAAATTAGCTATGAGTGGTGGTACAGGGCCCATAGTCCCAGCTACTTGGAGGCCAGAAGCTCACTTGAGCTCAGGAATTCAAGGCTACAGTGAGCTATGACCGTGCCACTGCATTCTAGCCTGAGTAACAGAGTGAGACTCATCTCTTTAAAAAAAAAAAAAAAAAGAAGTTGTATGTTGCCTGCCAAGAGTCAAGAGCAAATTTTACCTGCCTGGCTACCTTTTTAGGGGAAATCCCATAGACCAAGTTACCCCACAGGCTGACTTCATGAGGATAAATCAATCTTGGTGACTAAGCACCCTTTCCTGGGAGCTCTGTGATGCACGCAGGAGCGCCTCACCCTCTGGGATGGTGTGAAAATCGGTAACCTGATTTCATCACATTCATACTGGCTGACGAAACCCCGCTCCCGTGCCAGGTCCAGCATGCCCTCCACATGGCTGTGGAGCCTCCTGACAATGGCTGGCCGGTGACTCTGCAGGTCTCGGGCTGGGTGGAGCGAGTAGGGGTCCCAGCAGCCATGCAGCTTGGGGGTCTGGCTGTCAGCCTGGGCTTCCTGGACAGCTGCGATGAGTTTCTGACAGGCCCAAGTACCCTTATTCCAGATGGTATCCAGGAGGCGCCTGGCCAAGTTGGAGAGAGGCTGGCCCAGGATGTGGAAGCCCTCGTAGTCTTCCCAGGAGAGGACCTCCCAGGAGAGCAGCCAGTCCAGGACACTCTCGAAGCCTTCCAGGGACCCCGAGACCAAAAGTTCCACCAGCTGGCTTCTCTGAGCCTGAAAAGCCTCCTGCGAGCACATTTCACAACCTGGGGAGGAGAACAACATCAGTGCGGGACTTCTCTGAAAGCCAGACGCGGGGTGGTCGGGAAGGCCAAGGCAAGTCAGCCCCAGCAAAACCCGAGTTGGCTTTGGTTCTAGCCTCAGACTTTATCCAATCCAAGCTCCCCACCATTCAGATGTGCAAATTGAGGCCCAGAGAAGGCAAGAAACACCTCAAGATCCCACAGAGAGTTTGAAGCAACCAAAAATTAAATCAAGACCCCTAACTCCCATATGCATGCTTGGTCTCTGGCTTAAAACGTTTAAAAAGGCTTGAGGTACTATTAGGAGCAAGAGATCTCCTAAGGTCACTTGAGGTCAGGAGTTAGAGACCAGCCTGGCCAACACAGTGAAACCCTGTCTCTACTAAAAATGCAAAAATTAGCCAGGCATGGTGGTGGGCACCTGTAATCCCAGCTACTCAGGAGGCTGAGCAGTAGAATCGCATGAACCCGGGAGGTGGAGGCTGCAGTGAGCTGAGATGGAGCCACGGCACTCCAACCTGGTCAACAGAGACTCTGTCTCAAAAAAAAAGGGAGAGAGAGAGATCTCCCAAGTGATCAGGGAATGAATTCTCTTCGAAGTGGGGTGAGAGGGGCTCTTTGATCCTGACTGGCTTCGGGCTACAGCAGTTTCAGTAATGGTTAATATTTATTACGCATAAACAATACGCCGGGCGCCATTCTAAGTGCTCTCCTGCATGAATTCACGGGACCCTCCCAGCCACTCTGAAGTAGTGCTTACGATAAGCCCCATTTTACAGAGGAAGAGACTGAGGCACAGAGAGGCTAAGTGATTTGTACGACGTGTCACAGCTAGACAGGGTGGGCCAGGCCTTCAACACAAGCCGTGTGCGACTCCAGAATGCATGTCTCTAACTCTTATATTCCAGTTCCCCACGGGGGCCCCAAGCCCGTGCCATGTGCTTTGCACACTGCTCTCTAAGGAGTAGGCTCAGGGTATTGTTCTAAAGGTCCCAGCCTAGGCAAAGTGAAAAATTACGGTGCAAACTAAGTGGTTTCCAAGCGTTCTGGTGCCTTGTCCCCGTCGACACTTCCCCACACACTTGCCCTAGGGCCCTCGCCTCTCTCCCACACCCTTGAAACCACGTGAACAGGCTGCTCCCCTGCTATTGTCAGTAACATGCTCTGGGTTCTGGGGATTTGAGGGGAAGTGACCCTCCAGGAGCTTCAAGACCTGGGAGGGTCCCTGAGCAGCCGGGAACATCTCTCAGCATGATCGGTACTGCAACTGTCATGGTGTCCATGGACAAGGGCTGGTGCAGTGCCCAGAAGAAACGAAAGTGAAAGGGTGTTAGTACGGAAAACAAAGAGGGCCGTCAGCTTCTTTTTATAAATCAGGGACATTCCCAGACACTCAAAGGGGCAGATGCCAAGTGGGGATTTTGCATCTTTACTGATGGTTGTTTACGTGTCTCTCTCCCTGCCTGGGCCACGTGGAAGCCTGGGTCTTACCCGTCCTGGCATCCCTGAGCCTGGCACAGTGCTGTGCCCCACAGAGGCACTGTGGGAATGTTCATGAATCAAATATCCCCTGGGCATGGGGTGGTGGGAACATTCTGTGCCCGTCCTCATACGGCAGACATGGTAAGCAAAAGGAGAAACCTTTAATCTCTCAGAACACTGCTGGGGCACAGGGGGCCCTGTGCTGGACAGATGGGGAAACTGAGGCAATGAGGTTACTGGTGTGTCTGGCTGCTTGGGAGAGAGGGTGTCGCCCTGCAGAGGCCACTGGAAGCCAGGAACTAAGGTAGTTCTCTCAGGCCAAGGAGGTCTCCTCCCTGTGCCCACCTCTAAATAGAGGAGCCAAGAGGGTGGGGTGGCTGGGGACAGGGGAGCAGAGGAGAAAAAGGGGCAGAATAAGCTCTGGGCTCAGCCTTGGAGTGGTTCTCAGCTGTGGAAATACCAGCCAAGGATGCAACGGTAGCCCCAACCATCGCCCCTGCCCAGGTCCTGGGGAAAATAACCACTCTCCTACTCTCCCCAGAAAACAGCCCAGAAATGGAGCCAGCACTCCGCGTCTGACCCCAGGCCTGGGAGCATGTGTGCAGCCAGGAATGAAAGAAGGCTAAGAGTCAAGCTGAGCCAGGACAACGCCTGCTCCTCTTACCCAGGGAATGTTCGAGGAGGACACTTGCTCCTTCTTCCTCATCAGGAGAGCCTGGACCACTCTCTTCCCCCATCAAAGCCCACTAGGCTGGGGAAGCAGGCATGGCATCTGTGGGTGGGCCTTGCACAGAATGCCAAAAGCCCAGAGGCACAGGACTGGCGAGCCCAGCCACCTCCCAGGGAAATTCCCAAAGGAAGAGCCGGAGACCAGAGTTGGCCAACCAGCCATCCAGGACTAAGTAATTCCAGGCAATTCTGGCACAACGACTTGTGTATCCTGGCGACCACGACCCTCACTGAAAAACCCCACTGGGGACATGAGACACATTCACAGGGGGACAGGTCGAAAGTAAGTAGGGACCCCTCCCTAGCACACCAAGCCTGGAGCAGCCTGGCGTACGTGTGAGCCATACACACTCCGGCTAGTGACATCCGGTTTCTGTGGACTCCAGGAAGGGGAGGCCCGCCCAAGCCACATGGCTCAAGCCATGTGGGGAGACCCGCCCAAGCCACCAGCAGCTGCATCACCACACCTCTGCCCTTGCCTTCTTCCAGAAGCCTCAGAGCAGAGGGAATCCTAAGGACCAATTCAGCCAGCCCCCTGTCTCTGAGCAGGCATTATCCTGTCTCATCTTAAACATCTGAGGAGGACCTGGCCTTAGTGCTGTCATCACTAACCAGCTCAGGAAGCTCCCCAGCTTGGGAAGTTCCTCATTATGTCTTGCTTCAGATTTTCCTGCTTCCGTTTAAATTGAGAAAGACAGAGAAAAAATAGATATTCACTTATTATCCGTTTCCTAAAAATTGTCCTTAACATCCTTCCTCTTACCCCTGTATCACCTGGTCGGGCTTCCCCTCTTCAGACAAAATCTATCAGTCTATCTGTATCGCCTTCTGCTCTCTCCTTCAGTTACTACAACTTCAAAGACACCATTGTCCTCCCCAAGGTGAGGGCCATGTAGAGAAACGGGCACTTCCTTGCTGAAAGAGAGGGTCAAGGGGCGACCCACGTGGCCTCTCCCTGAACGCCAGGCCCAGACCTGAGGCCGGACACCTCCTTCCTTCCTGAGACCACAGCCAGCCTGGTTTCTTTAGGGCCAAGAGCAAATGCATGGCTTAAGTGCTGAAATCTCAGCCCACTGACCCCTTGCAGACAGGAGAGGAGGGGAAACCCAGGGAAGCTCAACTTCCCAAGCCTTCTGGGTCTCCGCGGGCACCAAGCCCCACACCCTCCCCCAGCCATCCTCCATTCTCCCTCCCCTTCACTGAACTTCTCTCCCTAAGAGACCAGCTCCCCCCACCAGTGAACAATGCACTCTAATCCTCCATTGTAAAAGTAAAGCCCTCTCTTGACGCCCCTCTTCATTTGGTTCCAATCCCATTTCTTTGCCTCCTTTATAGCAGGCCCCCTTGTCTGTTGCTTGCACTACTGTTCCCAAATCCTCCCATCCCTTCTCATCCCCCAAGTTCCCCATCCAGCTCCAGTGAGACTGTTTTGGTCATGGTCACCAGTGACCTCCTGTTGCTCAATCCTAAGCCCTCAGCCTGCCTGCTCTGCCAGGAGCATTGGTCATAATTGCTCCCTCCTTCCTCCTTGGGGCACCCCAACTCTCTGATTTTCACTCTTCCTGTCTTCTTGGCTGGTTCTTAACACCAGGGACCCCGGCACTCAATGGTTGGACCCCTTCTCTTCTCCATATAGCCCCCTTCCTAGATGAATCCACCTGCTCTTGTGGCTTTAAATACCAGCTATATGGTGACGATGCCCACAGTTTCATTTTCAACTCCAACCTCCGCCCTTAACTTTTCCCAACTGCTTAATCATCATTGATGCCTAATGGACAGCTCACACAAGCACAAAACCAAACTCCTGATCTCCCCCATCGCAACTCCCATTTCGGTTCACGACAGCTTCAAACCTCCAGAAGCTCGAGCCAAAAACTCAGAATCATCCTTGATTCTACCTTTCTCTTGCACCCCAAATCCTATTGACATAGCCTTTGAAATATATCCCAAATCTGAAGGTCTGGGGTTTTTTTTCTATTTTTTTTAACCACCTGTGGGCTATGGTGTAAGCCACTATGGTCTCTCCCCAGAACGACAGTACCGATTCTCTCACCAGGCTCTCCTTTTGCCCTTAGCCCACCCATCACCGTCCATTCTCCACCCCACAGTTGGATGGGCCTGCCAGACCCCAAGTCAGAGCAGGTGACTCCTCAGCTCCAAACCAGGGCTCCCGTCGTGCTCAGAGTAAAAGCCAAAGCCCCCCCTCCCCCACCGCCCTGCACAGATACTCACAAGGTTCACCCTCGCCTCCTGATGACTGCCCAGCTGTCATGGTCTTGGGGAAGCCTTCCCTAACTGTGCTATATACAATGCAATACCCAGCCCCAGCACCCCATCCTGCTTCCCCGCTTTGTTTTACTCGTAGCACTTCCCATCACCTGCCATGCCATAGATTTACTTCTTTCATTGCTGTCCATTCCCTTCTAGAATGTGTACTCCATGAGGGCAGGGAGTTTTGTCTGATTTCCCCATTGCTCGTCTCGCATCTCATCCAGTGCATGAATGACGACTGCTGGAATGGATGTGTTCTGCATGGCTCCGGGAGACAGACATGGAACCAAGGTGCAAAATCTGTAAGCCACAGATTTTAGGTAAAGGAAGCAAGAGCCGCAAGACACTGAAAAGCCACCTCATCAGTAATAAGCTCCCCACCACCAGGCATGTGTTGCAGAGGGCTTCTGAACTGGGTTGGAGGGAGGTGGGCTGGATGAGAATGCTTCCAGCCTCAGATCCCAGGGTGCAGAGAGGCAGAGGGACCTTGGGAGGCCAACAAATTCAGGGGCTGCAGCAACCCCATGGCTGAGTGATTGGGACAGGCAAGTACAGGCAGTGAGGATGTCACTCTGGTCTTCTTCACTAAGGGGTTGGGGAGGGTGACAGGGCAGGTGATCCCCCTCTGTAGAACAAGGACCTTGGAGGAGGCCAAGTCACAGCCCATGGGGAAACCAAGGCCATGGCAGGAAGCCCAAGGGCTCAGAAAGAGCAAATTTGGAAGCAGGGGTCCAGCCCCCAACCCTCATGCAGCTTCAGGAGGCCCTCCGCAGGGCGATTGGGTAGAGGGCTTTTCAGTTCATTGGAATGTAAGCAGGACCAGACAGCTGCTCCATCAACTTGAGAAGCAGACAGCAAACAGCCGGGGGTGTGGCCACGCAGGTCCTGGTGTGGGCTATCCGGGAAGGGATGGATTTGAACTTAGATCTCACACCCACCAAGGGAAAAGGAGGAGGCAGGAGATTCCCCTAAGAAGTGCAGAGAGCAGCAGTAGGATCCTCCAGGCAGACCCTCTGACACCCACTCACTGGGATGGTGAAGATGGGGAAACTGAGTCCCACAGAGAGGAAAGAACTCAAAAGAATGGCGCCCTCAGAGACCTAAAGCCCGGGCTCCTCAGGACTTCTCACTCCTGCCAGGGGCCTCCCCAACCTGGAGATGTCCCCTTTCCTTCTCCTGTCCCATCTACACCCAGGACTCCCCCAGGAGAAACGGAGGCAACCCTTCTCCAAGCCCTGCGGCCAAGACTGCTGGGACGGACGCCAAGTGTTCGAGTCCTGGGGACCGGACCATCGGCGCCCACAGTCTCCCCGCAGCCCACCCCCAGGCGCTAGGCACAAGCAGCGCGCCGAAAAACAGCACTCACCGCGAGCTGCCGGCGCCCCGACTCCAAGGCCCGCTCTGGGCCACGACTCGGGGCTCCAGCTCCAGCTTGGGCTTCAGCTCCTGTTGCGCCGGCGCCCGGCTCCGCCCCCGCCTGGACCCCGCCCCGGCTCTGCCCGGACTGCCGCGCCCGCTCCAGTCCCCGGCCCCGCAGCCCGGAGAGCGCCCGCTCCAGAGCTGGCCAGGCTCACCTGGGACAGGGAGGGAGCGCGCAGGAAAGGGGCCGGGCCTGCCTGCGGGGCTGGACGGCCCTGGCTGTGTGCCCTGGCCAGCGGGCCTCCCTTTCTGGGCCTCATTTCAACCAGGAGGAAACCGGACAGTCCTTAGAACAACCCGCTTTCCAACACACACACCACACACACCGCACACACACTGCTTCCACACACACACACACACACACACACACACCACACACACGCTGCTTCCCAACACACACATACACACACACATACCACTTCCCAACACACACACCCCACACACACTGCTTCCCAACACACACATACACACACACATACCACTCCCCAACACACACTTACATCCCACACACATTGCTTCCCAACACACACATACACACACACACCCCACACACACCACTTCCCAACACACACACCCCACACACACTGCTTCCCAACACACACATGCACACACACACCCCACACACCCTGCTTCCCAACACACACATACATACACACCCCACACACACTGCTTCCCAACATACACATACACACACACCCCACACACACCACTTCCCAACACACACATACACACACACCCCACACACACCACTTCCCAACACACACTTACACCCCACACACACTGCTTCCCAACACACATACACACACACCCCACACACACACCACTTCCCAACACACACACTTCACACACACCACACACTGCTTCCCAACACAGACATACACACACACCACACACACCACTTCCCAACACACACTTACACCCCACACAAGACCATCCTCACTTCTGACACCAGCTGCAAGTTTGGGGGTTTCCAAAAACCAAATTCACATTCAGTAATTCACTAGAAAAGTTCCGGGAACTCACTGAAAGCTATTAAACTTCGGGCTATGTTTCATTACAAGAACACACTACTAATTAGAACCAGCCAAAGGAAGAGCTGCCTAGGGTGTAGTCCAGGAGGGTTGCAGATCTAAAGCTTCCACTGTTCTCAGGGACGTGTTGCCCTCTCAGCATAAATGTAGGGTTGTGTGGCACCACACACAGTTTCTAGGTTCAGGTGTTCGTCCGTTTTCTTAATTAATTTTCTTTGTGGGGGTAGTCAGGCATCTGTGGCGCCTCAGCCCTGCCCTCCTTGTCCTCTTTGCTCTTGTCACCATCGTACTTGTTGGTCTTGAGATGAATTATCTCCAGGTGGATCTCCTCGTTGTCCTCTGCATTCTCCCGGTCGCCCTCAGCGTCGCTACTGAGGCGGGCTCCATCCTCCATCTTCCTGGTCCTTGCTGTGCGCCCCTCAGGAATCGCCTTGGTCTGGCGGTACCTGCGCACACTGGTGAAGCTGCTGGGGACTAGTGTGAGGTGGGACAGGGGTTCTTGGGGTGTCCCTTGAGCCAGGCCTTGAGCTGCCTCTGTTCCCTGCATGGCGTTCTTGGATCATCCAGGGGTCCCCATAATGAAAATGGCCGTGGGGATAATGAGCCAGTGCAGTGTGACACGAAGGTGACAGGGTGCACCCAGGACTATCCTTGAGTTCACCCTGCAATCGTGGCAGCCACAGAGCAGAGCCAGGGGCGGGGGTGGGGAAGGGGGAGGTGGAGAGGGAGAGAAAGAGAGAGAGGGGTGTGTCCCAGAAGCTGGGGAATTCAGGAGCAGCTGAGCCTGTGGGCTAGAGGCCTCCCTGGTGCTTTGCAGAACATGACTCCACCTCTTAGAGCAGGAAGCACCCAGCCCAATCCACCCCTGCAGGAGATGGCAGATTAAAAACCACAAGCTGACTCCAAGAACTGACCTTTCACTGACCATGGAGGTCTTTTTGTGTCACTCTAGCAAAGTTCCAGAAACCACGTCTCTCCAGAAGAGCACCCAGGAGCTGTGGACCCTACTCATTCCCTAGGCCACCCTTGGTCCCCGCCAACAACAGCTCAAGAAACCAAGTTGATCTCACATCAGCTAGATGGAAAAGCCTTTCAACTAGGGTGATAAAGCCTCAAATGCCCCCACCTACCCTTGCGGCCCCTCCCTCTCCAAGCAGGGATCTGGCAGGAGAGCAAGAAGGCAGCCACATCTTTCATCAGCTGCTCCTGGTTCTGAACTTCATTTGGACTTGGGGAAGTGAACCCCTGGAGGAGGCACAGAGAAGCTTGGGCCAGGCAGAAGGGAGATGCGTGTGGCAAGACAGAAGCCACCCGGGGCTACCAGGAGCAGCTGGACAGGCCCACCAGCATGGAGGGCCCCAGTTCCCTTCTCACCCCCAACAGGCTCTGTCCTGTCCTGCAGGACTCCTGTGCTGACCAGCCCCCACCTTGCCTGGTGAGAAGATATCTGGTTGAGGGAATGTGGAAGGCCATGCTGCTGATAAAGCTGACTCCCTTGCATATGTCGAGGATCACCTCCTGGCGCTGAGGGTCTACTGTGGAGACAGGACCTGATGACCTCCCACCGCCATTGGTGGGGTAGGCTGCCTGAGCCTTGCCTGACAGCTCCTTGTGGAGATGTCCGCCTGCCTCTCTGAGAGGCTGGGTCATGAGCTATGCCTGTCAAGGACCAGCTGCCAGGACCAGGCTGGGGACTCTTCCCTGGCATCCATGGCAATCCCCACTGGGCTGTCCTCTATTGCAACGGTCTCAGGCAGTTCCTTTCCCTTGACCAAGATGCCAGCATGCTGCCCTTTTGCTCATTTTCCGCCTTGGGCACCAGAGGATCTTCAAGCTAAGACTCCATGGAAAGCAGACTGCTATTTTCCAAGGAGGAAGGGACCCCTAGCTTGTTGATTTTCAGCTGCATCAGCTGAAGGGCAGCCGGCTTTATAAAAGAGAGGGTACCTGCAGCATAGCAGACACGGTGGAGGAGATGGGATGGGGTATTCGAAAGCTTTGCTGGCCTGGCAGCTTCCTGGCTGGCTGTGGTTGAAGAAAGTTGAGGCTGCACAGCCTGCAGGCATGGTGACATATCCTGCCTGGTATGCAGGTGTCCGTGTGTGCATGCTCACACCCAACAGCAGCAGGTCACAGGAAACACCATCTCCCAAGGCAGGAAGACAGTCATAGAATGAGGGGAGAAGGAAGGGGCTCTCCATTCAGGCCAGAGATCTTTATAGCGACAGGAATGCCACTGGCATTTTGAGAAAGAGAGTTCTTCATGCTTTGGGACATTTGATGAGGCCAACTCCTAAGCACAAAACACCAGCAGCACCAACACCCAGTGCCCCACCTGCCCAGCCCAGCATTGTGACATTCACAGCCACCCAGCAGATTTCCACACACTCCTTAACAGGTCAGCACTGCCCCCACCGGGTCACTGGTTTGGCTGCTCTCTAGTTTGCAGTCAGTACAAAGCCTCTGATCTCTGCATTTGGGAGACTA